AGCAGCCGGGCGCCGACCTGCGCCGGCTGCTGGTGCGGGAGCGGCAGCCGCGCGGCCCGGACGGGAGGGACGTCGGGCCGGCGCGCTGGTGGGCAATCACGTCGATCGAGGAGGTTGACGCGCTCGTCGCCTCGCTCCGCCCGCGGGGGGGGAGGGAGTACCGCCTGCAGCGGGCGCTCATTAGCTTGCGGCCCCGCCTCGAGGCGGCGATGGCGCCCGCGCACGACAAGGCAGCGGCGCCCGCAGAGGCCGCCGCCGCCGCTCCGGCCAGGGACGAGTCGGGAGAGGCGCGGGAGGAGGGTGCGCGGCCCGCCAACGCCGACACCGACGCTGAGGGCGCAAAGGGCGGCGCCGATGAGGACGGCGGTGGCGCCGGCGGCGGGAGCGGCGATGGCAGCGGCGGCGGCGGGAGCGGCGGCGGCGGGATGTCGTCGCTCATGGCGGGCATGCTGGCTCGTGCGAACGGCGAGGAGGACGGCGAGGAGGAGGGTGGAGAGGAGGAGGGGGAGGAGGGGGCGGGCGAGGGCGAGGCGGAGGCCGAGGTGCGGCATTGGCTGCCGAGCGAGTGGCGCTCGTTCGCAAGCCAGTACCTGATCAAGCATCAGCGCGCCAACCACTGCCGCGCGGAGCCGCAGAGCTGCCTCGACGAGCTGCGCTACGAGATGCTCGACCTGTACTGCGCGACGCCGCTCCCGAACGCGCGCAAGCAGACCGAGGGGTTAGCGGGCTGGACCCGGGAGGTCAAGGCGGCGAGCACCGTGCACGACCTCAGCCTGCTGCTCCTCCAGTTTGCGCGGCAGATTCCGCGCGCCTGCTTCAAAAAGTCCACCTTCAACAAGCCCGTGTGGTGGCCGTTTGAGGGCGACGACGACGACGACAAGGAGAAGAAGCCGCCGGTCAAGGCCAAGGAGAAGTCCGAGGAGCCGCCGCCGCGGATCGAGTCGGCGCATCAGGTGCTGCTGCGTCTGCATTTGCTGGATGCTGCGTTGCTTTATAGCAAGGGCAGCTGAGGGAGAGGCGGCCGGGGGAGGGGGAGGGGACCGGCTTCAACCGATTGCATGGCGTGAGAACGCGCACCCCAAACAGTGTGTGTGGATCTCTCTATTTTTGTACGTGCCGGTTCGTGTATAGCTAGGGTGGGTGGGTGCCTCGAGAGTGCCAGCAGCGCCAATCCGAGGCAGTTCGTGATGGTCGCAAATACGCGAAATTCTCATGAAAACAAGTAGAAAATCGCGCAAAAAAGAAAAATGGAAATTTCGGCGCCTGCGGCGGGCCATGGGACCCCATCTCGAAACTAAGAGAAATCCACGGCATGTCGTGCTTTTAGCGTTTTGACCCAAATCGGCCGAACTTTTAGGATACCCTCAGGCTATGCGTGTAGCACTTCTTCCTACTTCGTACTTGCAGGAGGTGGGAGGGCGGCCTGGACGCCTCTTCCCCCGTCCCCTCTCTCAACCAATCCCGAGCAACGCCCCCGAACCGCCCAGGGAACCGGCGTGCGAAGCACCGAGATGACCGACACCGTCTAGACCGAACCACCGTCCACCGATATAGCAAAACCCGCTGCGCGGTCCTCGCCACCTCGCGTTCGCGCCCCGATGTCTCGCGCAACACGGGGTGAGTTCGAGCTCCGGCGGCGTGCCAAAAAGGGCGACCCGGTGAGCGAGGAAACTCCCTGTCCCTCTAGCTCTACGGCAAGGCGCGCCCGCCTCGGGAGTAGACTCCTCCCTCCGCCCTCTCTGACCCCATCCTTGTCGCCTCCTCCAGCCTCTCGGCAGCGAGAATAGCCTCGTCAATGTCCCGGCGCCCGTTGGACTGGTACGGCTGATCGACGTCGCCAAGCAGCGTGTGCGCAGCCTCCTCGGACTGCTCCTCTCGCGCACGCCTCCACACCAAGAAGCCAATGAGACACAGACCCAGCAGCAGCACGAGGACGGAGGGGATCTGCACCGGACGTGCACCGCCCGCGGCTGCTCCCGGCGATTGCCGCACGGTGGTCGGCTGGGCGGCCGGCTTGCCCAGCCGTGGCTCGCCCGCTGGGGCTGCATGAGTTCCGGCGCTATCGCGTGGTTGAGTGGCGGCGCCAGCAACGCCGTGTCCGGCAGCCCCGACCGAGCAGAAGCCGCAGGCTTTGCACTTGCAGAAGCGACAGTGGTTTTTCGCCTGCGTGCATGCGCGGGAGGGAGGGTTCTTGCCTGCATTGCACGCAGAGTGATAATCGCGGAGCACACCTTTGCCGCCTTGCAAAAGGCGCCGCAGGCCTCGTAATTGAAGTCGCCGTGCAGCGTGGAAGTGCAGGCCTTGCTGTCTGCGGGCCGGCTTGCTGCCGGCGCAATGGCCAGGATGAGGACGGCGCGGCGCAGCATATACACATACACACACACAAGATACGACGTGTGTGTGCGGGTGCGGAGTTGGTGCGCCCGCCGAGGCACAAACCCAAAAGAAAAGTTTTTCTTGAGCTCGGGATCGGAGAAAGACAAAAACCTTTAAAAAAAGAAAGGACAGGGCCCCCACAAGGTGATTGAAGCATGAAGGATTAACGCTGAATTATTAACGCGGGGATTAAAATTCTTTTTGCGAGTGCGCGCCAGTCCCGTGCCCAGTGTAAGTCAGTCAGTGTTACACACGTCCTACTCTCGGGGCACACGCACTCGCGGAACACAGCTCACAGGGCATTACACACGAGGCGTTGTGTGTGTGAGAGAGAGATATTTCTCTGTTCTCTCTTCTTGGCGTTGTGTGCGTTCTCAGGGAAAGGCATCACCAACCACAGACAGAAATGCAATAGTCAGAGGGGCAGCCGGGTGGGATCCCCGCTCACGGCCTCGCGAGCGCCCGCAGCGAGGTGTCCATCGCCGCATTGCGGTTTCGCCAAGCACGCGCGCACTAAAAGAAAGAAAAACCCGACCGAGGGATGGGGAAGGAAGACAGGATCCCCACCTGCACGAGCAGGATTGGCCTGCGAAAATTCTTTTTGGCAGGGCGCGCACGCGCGGCAGCCTTTTGCTGATGCCAGACGGGCCCGAAGATGACGGATTCACGACAGATGGCGAGGATGAAACGAGGAAGGCTGGTGCGGTCGCGGCAGCCGGCGAGCAGGGCGCGGCGGCAGAGGAGAGTGCAGAGGAGAGCGGAGAGGAGAGCGACGAGGAGAGCGACGATGCCGATGAAGACGACGACGAGGAGGAGGGATACGCGCAGGCAGATCGCGAGCAGCTTGCTAAACTGCTTGCTCCGCCGCCGCGCGAGGGTGCGCCCGGAACGGCCGGCGCGGAGGGAGGAGAGGGCGCGGAGGGCGCGGAGGTTGCGGAGGCCACGGGTGCGGCTCCTCTCGCGCGGCAGCCGCAGGACGTGGAGGCAGCGGTGCACCGCTGCCTCGTGCTCAACCGCGAGATGCAGCGCGTGTGCAGCGAGCAGCTCGCCCTCCTCGACGAGGCGCTCGACTGCAACAGCCGCCGGCGCGCCGAGCTGTTCGGGGGCGGCGCATCCGCGGCGGAGGTGGCCGCGGCGAGGGACTGCGACGCTGAGCGAGGAACTGTCGGCGGCGGGCGGGGCGAGGCGGTTGCGCCGACCGAGCCCGGGACGTCGCTGCAGAGGAGCGGCGCGCTGGTCGAGGACGGGTGGGAGGGCGGGTGGGAGGGCGGGTGGGAGGGCGGGTGGGAGGGCGCCGCGCCGCCGCCGCTCCCTGCGAGCGGGGCCCACCGAGAGTACCGCTGCCCCGGCGAGGGTGCCTTCGGGGACGGCACAGACTCGTGCCCGCCGCCGAGCCGAGACACCGACGCAGCAGAGGCGCTGCGCAGAGCCATCCCGCTCGGAAGCAACCTGCCCGACCAGCTCCGAAAGTGGACCAAGCCAAACAGAGACACGCTGCGGCGCGGCGTCGCGCAGGCTGCGCTCCAGAGACGCCCCCCGCCGTGCGCCCCGAGTGTGCGGTGCGTACAGTTTGCTGCCTGGTCGCTAGGTTGCGGTGAGCGCGAGGCACACGGCGCTTCTCTCGCTGGTTCAGGAGGAGAGCACGAGCCTCGCCGACAAGAGGGCGGCGCAGGCGGAGGTGAGGGCCTTGCCGGAGGACGCGGCTGAGCTGAGCGACGAGGTGCCCCTCTCCTCCTCGAGACAGCCCTCTCCCCTTGCACCTCCCCCGACCTCTCCTGGAACCGCCCTTCCTGCAGGCCCTCTCCTCCCTCCTCGACACGACCCCTCCTCTCGACTGGGCGGAGCTCACGCGCGTCTACTTGCCGCACCGCTCGCCAGCGGAGTGCGAGGCTCGCTGGAGCCAGGCGGGCTGCGGAGGACACCTCCCCACGGAGGACACCCCCCTCTCCCGGGACACGCCCGCGACGCGTCGCACCGCCCCGGCGCACGTGGAGGACCCCGTCTCTCCCCGTCTCTCCCCATCTCTCCCCGTCTCTCCCCGTCTCTCCCGGCGCAGGTGGATGACCCTCGCGTGCGGCCATACTCGTCGCGAGCCCTCGAGCGCGAGAAGATCAGCAAGGCGCCCTCCTCCGGGTCAAGAGGGGCTCCCTCCTCCCCCCGCTCCCTCCCCCTGCACCGTCTCCGCCTCGGCCGCAGGTTCCCTTCACGGAGGCGGAGCACCTCGCCCTCTCGCGGCTCGTCGAGGCGCGAGGCGGACACGCTTGGGACGAGGTGCCGCCCGATGGTAGGTAGGCGCCGAGAGAGAGGTAGGCATGCGGCGGACACGCTTGGGACGAGGTGCCACGGGTGCCTTGGCCCAGGGGTGCCTTGGCCCAGGGGAACCAGCCGCGCGCGCGAGCAGGTGTCGCGCGAGATGCAATCTCGGGCCATCTCGGCTGACCTCGGAGCAGGTGTCGCGCGAGATGCCGGACGAGACCGCGCGGGCGGCGGCGAAGCTGCGGGCGAGCAGCGAGGGGGCGGCCAGCTCGTCGGCCGGCGGGCGGCGGCAGCCAATGGCCTGCTTCCGGTACTACAAGACGGTGCTGCTCCCGCAGCAGCGGCAGTCGCAGGGCAGCCGCAAGGGGTGGACGCACGATGAAGACGTCCTCCTCGTGCGCGCGGTGGAGCAGTGCGGCGAGTCCAACTGGCAGCGTGTCTCTGAGCTGCTCGGCAACACGCGGAGCAGCAACCAGTGCCTGCAGCGGTGGCGGTACTCTGTCGACCCGTCCCTCAACAAGGGGAAGTGGTCCGAGGCGCGCCGGTGGGGCGGGCGGGGGGGGGGGGGGGGGGCTGCGGATGGGCCACCGTGACGCTCCCCCACACGCGCCCGCCTGTGGATAGGCCGAGGACGACGCGCTGCGGCAGGCGGTCACGCGCTGGACTCTCTCCAACGGCCTCCCGAGCTGGACCGACATCGGCCGCGAGGTGGACGGGCGCACTCCGATGCAGTGCCGCGAGCGCTGGTGCAACCGGCTCGACCCCGCCCTCAAGGCTCCCAACCACGGCTTTGCCACCCTTGCCCCCTCCCCACGGCCACCCTCCTCACGCCGACCCCCCCGGCGCCGCAGGCCGAGTGGACGGCGGAGGAGGACGCGCGGCTGATGGCGGCGGTCGGCCTGTTGGGTCACAAGTGGTCGGCCGTGCTGCGGCACGCCGAGCTGCAGGGCCGGACCGACAGCATGTGCCGCGATCGGTGGAAGAAGATCACAAAGCCGCAGGCACTCCCGAGCCAGCCCCGAAACGCTCGCGAGACGCCTCCACGGCATTCGGCTCACCAAGCCACGCATCCCCGCTGCGCCCTCCTCTCCCGCTCCGCACCCCGCTCCACACCCCCTCCTCTCCCCTGCTCTCCCGCCGCAGGTCTTGCCCGCGCCGCATCCCCTGGTCCACCTCGACCTCTGCATCCGGCCGGGCGGCCTCGTCTCGTGCACCCCTCGCGCGTGCGTCAAGACGCAGTTTCCTTGCCGCAAGTGCGACGCGTGCAGGGCACCCGATTGCGGCCGCTGTGCCGCGTGTGTGCGGCGGGCGCACCCCCCCGCCGCGCGGCGACCGCCGCCGCAGCCGCTTGCAGCGCCGCCTCCGCCATCTCTGGGCGGGCAGTCGCTCGCGCCGCCTCCGCCGCCGCTCGATCCCTCGCCCGTCCCTCTGTTTGGGCCGCCCCCCCCAGCGGCGTCCGCTTCGCCGCCCCCGGGCACGCTGGTGCCGTTTCAGCCGCCTCCGGCCTCCACTTCGCTCTCCTCCACGCCGCGAGGGACGCGCTGCGAGGCGAAGGTCTGCTTGCATCCGCTCTTCCGGTGCACCCGGAAGTCGCAGTGCACGATCCTCCGCGCGCAGAAGCCGGCGAGGGCGACCCAGCAACGGCGGTCGGGCGGTCGCGCGCGGACGCAGGCGGAGAAGCGGAGCGCCGCTGCCGCCGAGCTGTGGGACCGCAGGATGAGCGAGAGCGAGAGCGAGGACGAGGCTGACCGCGACCGCGAGGGTGAGGGCGACGGCGACGGCGACGGCGACGGCGACGGCGATGGCGAGGAGCCGTCGCCGCTGCCGCCACCGCGGGACCGTGCGCCTGGCAAGCGCGTTTGCCCGCCGGCGCAGAGGCTAAGCGAGGCTCCGCCCGCCGCCACGGCGGCCAAGGCCGCAGCCAAGGGGCCGAAAGCGCCCGCCCGGGAGGGGTCGAAGGGGGTTAAGATCACGAGGCCGCCCGCCGCCTCCGGAAAGAAGCCCGCCGCCACCGCGAAGAAGCCAAAGGCCGAGAAGCTGCCACCGATGCCGCGCGAGCCGCCGGGCTGGGAGACCACGGAGGAGGGGAAACTCGTGGGCATCTTTGGCGCGACGGCTGAGACGCTCGAGAAGGCGCAGGATCGCTATGAGAAGGACCGAAAGGATCTGGTGGGCAGGCGGGTGATTGCAACGGATGAAGATGGAGACTGGACGGCCGTGCTCGTCCAGTTCATGCCGCAGGAGACCAAGGATTCAAGACGCGACCGAGACCCCGAGTTCTACAACAAGGCGTGGTACAAGCTGCACTACTATGAGTCGTCTTATGAGGAGATCATCGGCCTTCCCGACGACACGGTCACTGTCGACGACCGGCAGCCGGGCGTGCGGGAGGCTCTGTGCAAATGCCCCATCTGCACGCAGGACGGCCGGCAACTGGACGGTGCGCCTCTGCCCCTCCAAACCTCCATCGCGAGGCCCCGCAAGGCCAAGAAGGGAAAGGGCAGCGCCCGCAAGAGGCAGCGGCGTTGAGCGCGGATAGAGGCACAGAGAGCGCGTTGCGGTGAGTGTGTGAGGCTTGTTGTGGCCCCCCCTGGTCGTTGCGCGCCTATTTCGGTACATTGTACGTCACTCAGTGATCTCTCGGAGTCGATCCTTGAGCATATCTCTCGTTTCATGTTTATTGCATTTTGGTCGCGCAGAGACGAGACGGTACAACGCGTACTCTAGGGGGGGGTGTGCCCGCGTAACGTGTTAATTTTTGGAGGGCCTAACAGTTGCACTGTGTTGTTGGCTGAAATCCTCAACGTTGTTCAAGTGTGTTCACCCCAGCCCATGCTGTTACTGTTTGTTACTGTTGTTACTGTTGTTCAGCGGCCAGCAAGCAGAAAATGGCAAAACCCCGGGTAACCCCCAATAAAATACCTGGGGTTTCCCCCGGGAGCCGGTATTCGGGTATTACCCGCACTGGACACGAGAGATCGTCGCGGGTCACTGCCAGGCCATCCTTACTGTTGTTCAGTGGGCCGAACGTTAGCTACTGTTGTTGGGGAACCCCACTGATTGTTCTGTTGTTACTGTTAACACTAGCAACACTCTCTGTTCAGCTATCTTAACGTTAGGCACCGGCCCTAACGCGTACAAGTACCGCGCGATGACGGTACCGACTTGCACGCGAGACGATACAAATAAGTCCCCCATGTAAAGCCGTATACCGGACATGCCGCCCTCCCTCAGCTCTCGACACATGCCTCCACATACTCTACTCTAGCAGCGCTCTGCACATGCGCTAAGATACGTGCTACAGCAGCGAGTCCTTGCGCTTCGCCTCTTTTGCGGCCTCCTCATTCTCCGCCTTCCCAACGCGCAGGAGCAGCGTGTCGACAAGGTCCATGAAGACATGCCCGAGCGTCGACACAAAGACGACGATCAGTATGGTCGTCAAGGTGCCCTGCGGTGACGGCGGCAGATGAGGTGAGGACCAGAGATTGGGGTCGGTGGGGTCTTTATTAGGGAGGCGAGATTGGATGGGATGTCACGAAGCGAGGGGGTGGGCGCGAGATGTCGCACACCTGCGTGAAAACGGACGGTTCAAGCGAGTCGGGCACAACAGCCCTCGCGGCAGCCACGGCGCTCTCCGTCAGGTTGTTGGGATGGGTGACAAGCCAGCCGGAGAGGTAAGTCGCGAGGAGGGGCGCCAACAGGAAGCTGACGAGCTTATAAGCGAGGACCTCCGGGCAGAGGACGCTGGGTCGGGTTCACGGCTGTGCGGTGTGTGTAGGGTAACGGCGAGAAGACGATTCTCAAGCTATGGCAGAGCACCCGGATCCCGGCGCTCGCAAAGAGGTCTAGTGAAAGCTGCAGGAACTCCTGCTTGTTGATCATGCCAGACACGTCCGTGTCTGCCGTATTAAACAGCATGTCTGCCGTCTCGCGAGATGGCGGCTTGATCGGCGCCTTTTGATTCACTTTGATGTAGAGCCTCAGAATGAGGATGTAGGACTCGCTGATGTCAACGAGCCCGTCATCATTCGTGTCGGCATCGTCGAATATGCTATTCACCATCCCCTCGAGCCCAATGTCCCAGCAGGGTAACTCGGCTGCGGACTGGGCAGCAGCCTCACTGATACCTCTCGCGGTGGCATTTTGCGCCTTTGCAGTGGTCTTGGACGGCTTATCTTGCCGGGAGCCCCGCTCGCTAGCTCTTCTCGCTCTCAGCCAATCGTCCGACGGACGCGGCAGTTCGGGGCGCGCGACGCTGGGTAGCGGCGTCGCGCTTGCGGTGCCTGGCGTCTCGCTTGCGTGTGACATATCTGAACGCGAACCAACCGCCGAAGTGGCCAGTTTGTAGTAGAGGTTCAAAGGGGGGGGGGGGGGATGGAGGGGGGTCATAACAAACACGGTACCTTAAGGTACAGACAGGATTGAGGTGCACACGCCGCCGAAGCAGTGTCGTCCCCCCTCTCCATCAAGCAGCATCTCACTGGGAGACGTCGGCGGCGGTGGCGGTTTGTTTGAAATTCGTTCGTTGTTTTTCTGTTTGTCAGTACCTTGACAAGGAGTTTCGACTGTCCGAGGATTTGGACTTGGGCCTTTCTGTGAGGACCCCGACTGTCGTGTGCGTGATCTTGGATCTTGGCCGCTACGCGGGAATTCCTTTTGGCGGGCAAATATTGGGTCCGAGTGCGATAGACAGAGAAATGCGCGAGGCAGGTATTTCCTTTTCGATTAGTTGTTTTTGTGAAGATCCCGGTGGACGGTCGAGTTCGTTTTGTGCGTCGGCCGCCCGTCCGCCGCCGACGTATGCCAAACCTCCATGCGTAAGGCGGCTCTTGTCAGCCTTGGGGCGCTGCTCGCCGCCTCGGCACCCAGTGTGCCCGCGGATGTCGATGTCGCCGTGCCGTATTGGGTGCTCAAAGAGACAGTTGAAACGATGCAAAAGGCGCTCCTTGAGCAGGAAGCCAGCAACACTGCAGCGCTCGAGTCAATGCGTGAGGTGATTGATGGCCAAGCAGCGGCCATCGGCGAACTCCACGAGGCTGAGTCCCGGCTGGCGGCCGCCAAAGAGGCGCTCCAGAAGCAGCTTGAGCAGCATGCAGCTGCAGACGCCACTGCCCTCGAGACCATGCGCAGGGGCATCAAGACCGTTGCAATGAACAGTGGATACGCGTTGCAGGCGATGGGCAGGGTGATTGAGGACCAAAAGGCAACCATCGAGGAGCTCAAGGGACACAGCGAGCGACAGAGCACCAGTAACGACGGGCTGCAAAAAACTGTCGACTCGCAGGCGGCAGCGCTTGAGGCGATGCGCAGCACAATTGAGGCGCAGGTGACGAACGACGCCGCTGCGATCCAATCGCTGCGGCAGGTGGTTGGTGAGCAGGAGTCTGCGATCGAGCACCTCGCGGAGACGGACTCAAAGCTAGCCGCCTCGAAGGCGAAGGTCCAGAAGACGTTGGAGACACAGAGCTCAGCGGACGAGGCGGTTATCGAGAGCCTGCGCGCCGCGATTCAGCGACAGGCGGCACGCGACGCAGCAGCGATTAAGCAGCTTCGGACGAAGATGGCTGAGGTGGCTAAGCGCGACGCGGAGACGATCGAGAACATGCGGCTGAAGATGTTGGCGGAGATGCGGGTAGCGGTTCGAGAGCAGCTCGCAAAGGATGAAGTCAAGCTCGAGACGCAGGCATCGACATACGAGTCCGCGATCGAGGCGCTACGCGCGGCCTTGGGAGAGCAGGCCACGCAGGACCAGGAGTCTCGGAGGGCGGCGGTGGCGAGTCAGGTGGGACGCATCCCGTGAGAATCCCGCATCCGCACACGCTGCCTTCTGACCAAGGCGCTCCCCTCTTGCCTACCAGGCCTCCTCCGATCGCGTGGTCATCGACGAGCTTCAAAAGGTCGTGGGGGACCAGACCTCAACGATCGAGCAGATGATGAGGATCGATGCGAAGCAGGCGGTCGAGAAGGAGGGGTTGAGGAGAACCGTTGCCTCGCAGGAGGCCACCATCAAAGAGCTTCGACACGCCGCGAGGAAGTGCGATGATCACCACCGTGATTGATTGACTCTGATGAGGGTCCGATGGCGTTGCTTCGAGCGGTCCGCGGCGTCTCGCGCGTCGCGGCAGGAAGGAGCGAGATAACAACGATATCACAGGCTGCCGTGTGCGCGCGATCGGCGAGGATCGTGAGACGTGAGATAACTCTATAACACAATAAAATAGCGTTCGAGCTTCGACGTGCATGTGAGCTCGCTCTGCCTCGCCAGGCCATGCTCCAACGTCCAGGCAGAGAGAACAGCGCAGCCCCAACACAAGCGAAAGACACGAGCCGCTGGCTACACGCCGGTAACGCGTATGTACAATAAACGTACACGCACAGGGCCGCGCACGCCCCCGTAGAGTACAGCGCGAGAGGAGCGGGAACTATCATGGGAACTATGCGCGTGATGGAACAATCCGGGCCTAGCGAATGGCGGATATGATGCGCTCTACTTTTTTGCATCGCCGTGCCCGTTGCTGGCCGCAGCCGAGGGCGCGTACTCGCGCACAGGCGCGGGGAAGCCGCAGGAGCGGCCATCGGTGTGCTTCACCTGCCCCTCCCACGGCAGCCGATACTTTCCCGCGACGAGGTCGTGCATGAACGTGTACGGGCAGTCGCGCGCCCCGCCCTGGACTGCAACGTACGCTCTGTGGCCCTGCGGTCAGGCACGGTCAGGTCATGCCGTGGAATGTCGGCACCCGCACTATCTTACTGTCGCAGCGTACGAGCTGGTAGATGTTGTTTTCGACGCCCCAGCCGAGCCTCGCCTCGCGAACCTATCAGAGGCGCAGCAACAGCGGAATGGGTTTTTCCCCCCCCCCCCCCCCCCCTTCCCTCCCTCCCTCCCTCCCCGGACCAGGTCGGGCCGCAGCTCGCAGGTGATGATCTCGTCCGGCCGGCCTCCGCCTCGCGTGATGATCCCACCGTCGAAGTTGCAGAACATTCCTTCGCCTGTGATTCAGAGGGATGGGTGGGGAGAGGAAACGCGCTGCAGTGCCTCCCGTGCTCGCATCCGCCATCGCCCATCGAGTCGAAGGTGCCGTCGCTGCCGCTCATGCAAACGCTGGCGGTGCACATCAGGTTTTGGAACGCGTTTGCCTGGTTCGTGAAGACCCACGAGTCGCGGATCGGCGCGGTGTACCCGGCCGTGCGCAGCATGATTTCTGCGCCCTTGTACGCGCACTCACGAGCCATCTCGGGAAACATGCCGTCGTGGCAGATGATCAGTGCGAGCTTGCAGCCGTTGGGGCCGTCGACGACCGGCACGCCGAGGTCGCCTGGCGCCCACGGCTCAACCGGCACCCATGGATGCAGCTTGCGGTAGTAGAGCACCTCGTTGCCGTCGGCGTCGAAGATCAGGCCCGAGTTGAACGGGCTCTCTGGCGCGGCAGGGTTGCGCTCCATGATCGAGAAGCACCCCCAGATTTTGTGTTGCACACAGGCCGCTCGCAGCCGCGCGACGATCGGGCCGTCGCGCTCACACATGATCTCATCGCAGACGTCCATAGACAGGCCGTGCAGCATGTATTCGGGGAACACGACGAGGTCCATAGAGGTGGAGCCGCGCCGCGCTTTGCCGACGAGAGCGCACACGCGGTCGACCTGAGCGTCGAGCTGGTCTTTCGTTTCGATGACGGGAAGCTGCAGCTGGCAGAGCCCGACGACCACGCCGTGGGGCGACTTGTTGAGGCCGCCGAGGCCGCTCGACATGCGTAGAGGTGGTGTGGGGTACAGCCTAGACAGCTGGAGCGGCGATTTTTCTTCTTTCGAGCTGTGTTGAGAGTTCAGGGGCAACCCCCGCCCGGCTCGTATATAGGTCTAAAGGGCGTGCGGATCCTTAAATTCTTCTTCAGTCCCGTGTTTAGTGTTGTGAGAGAGAGTTTAGTTGCACCTTCAAAAATTCTTCTTTCTTTGAGAGAGAGATTTTTAGCAATACCTTAACAATACCAAACAACTCTAACACTCACACGTCATTTGGGGCCTGGAGCCCTGTTCACGCGCGCGCGAGACGTGCAGACAGGGTTGCCAGGTGAGAGCGAATGGCGCGGTTCACGCCTCGCACAACAGAGAGAGAGATGCGCTCTGCATGGTGGGACATAAAAGAGAGCGAGTACTCGGGCGAGTAGGCCGTGCGGTCAACGCTGCCGCGCGCGACTTTGCGCGCGAGGCGGCGCAGCTTGAGAACGGCGGTGGGCGAGAAGCCGCCGCCGAACGTCTCGTGGAGCAGCAGGTTGAAGTTGTTGCGCTTGACAAAGATCGCGTCGTGGTAGAAACCGCGATGCGCGCCTTCACGTAGCCGTGGCCGGTCTTGTGGGAGAAGGGTTGGCCGGGCTGCCAGCGCGCCTTGCAGCCCACATGTTTAGGCGGCGGGCCTTCTCTTCGGTGTTGCCAAAGGCGTAGGAGTGGCCAACGGAGGCGGGCGTGCCGCCACTCGAGGCGTTGCCAACGCCCGGCGAGGAGGTCTTGAGGAGGGGCGCACAGAGATGATTTCATTCACTTCATCGCACCCCCCCGGTCCCGCATGGGGTTCTGCGAGGTCGGTCTTGTACCCCTCGTTGTACTGCCGGGTGAGCTCTGGTTTCTCCTTGTCGCCGTGCACGACCGGCGCGTTGGCCGGGGCGCGCATCGCCATTAGATGAGCTCTTCAATCACAACACAGGGCAGGACAAAAACACAAGGATCCGCAAGCGGAGTACTCTGAGAGCACCCAACCAACAACCACACGCAAGCGCACTAGCTGACCCTACCTAGGGCCCGCCGCACTCTCGCGACCCTCGCACCGCCTGCCCCCCCAAGAGCTCATCGCCTCTGCGCTGTGGCTGCGCAGCCCCCACTACACCGGCTGGCGCCGTACACGTGAGGGTCCCGTCTCCGGAGGTGAGACTGTATTATCCGCAGCGATAGAGCCAAAGCTCCGCGCTCGCCACGCCCCGACGTTCAGTCGTTGAACCTCAATCCGTTGCCTCAAGCCCCCACCTGCCAGCGCGAAGGCGTGTCGAGGGTCGCACTAGTTTTTTTGTTCTTTGAAGGCAAAACAAAACAACGTGTTAGAGTTGTTTGGTATTGCTAAAAATCTCTCTCTCTTGAAGGCGCGTCCTTCCTTTCAAAGGACCGACCGTGAACGGCGGCGTGAGCGCCTGCCTGCCCGAGCGTGTCGCGCTACAGTTGTAGCGTGGTCGGCGTTGCCCTGTCCTCGGCCTCCTCGCACTCTCGCTAGCTGAGAGATCTCTGTCGTTCTCCGAGCCCTGGCAGCTGTCTGTCTGTGGGCCCGGGTGGGTTTTTTGCGGTGTCTGAACGTCGCGCTGCTGTCCCCTGTGAATTTATTTATCTTTTGCCCAAGCCTGAACTCCTCACTGTATCGCTCAGAGTGTCCCTTGTAATGTGAGAGAATGTGTTGTGTTCTGGTTTGCTATCCGCTTTCTCTTTTTGGGTCAAGAACCAGCGAGCGGCAGATGTCATCTTACGCTCGACCACAGTGGTGGGGTGCCTGTGCTGAGTGTCTTGTGTGTGTGTGTGTCGTCTGTGTGTCGCGCTCGCGCGTGTCGTCATCTTCTGCCTCGCGTCCACCCATACCGCGCTGGTGTCCAGTCCGGGCCTGACTGTTCTTCACCTTCCTACCTAACCTAACCTGCCTTGTGTCGCCTAGTTGCGCGGGTGCGCGGTCGCGCCCCTCTACCCTTCATGATTCCCACACCGACGCCGTCGTGGGATCGCTTGTCATGTGACAGAGTGCGTTTTGTTCTTGGGGTCCTCCCATCCGCCATCCCCTCCCTGCTCCCATCATCTGAGAGTGAGACCTGTCGCCATCGCCTCTCTGAAAGCATCGCCTCTCTGGAAGAAAGAATTTCACAGAAACAACTCTCTCTGCTCTCTCACAGCGACCGGCTCGCACGCCGGAAAGCTTTTGTGTGTGTGCCGGTGTGTGTGCCAGTCCGCGCCAGTCTGCGCGCGCCCAACGGCTCGGCGAGGCGATGGCGCGCGTCGCAGCCGGCTGGCACGGCGGCGCGGAGGGCGCTGTCCCCGTCGCGGTGGATCTGAGCTCGCTCGCCCCTCCGTGGCAGCCTCGCCCAAAGCCGTCCTCGCGCAAGGCTCGGCGGACCGTGCCGGCGGCGCCCGTCTCCATGGCTCCCGGGCCGCCATGGCTCGCCCCGGACGCGTTCCTTGCCGACGGGAGCTGCGCCCACAGGCGATTCCCCCCGTGGCCGGGCGCTCACCGAGTTTGGCTGGTGGTCGCTACTTCCGCCACTCGAGCTGTCGCCCGGGGACAGCTTGGCTCCGGCGCCTAAGCCGTGGGGCGGTGCCACCGAGGGCGAGTACGGGGAGGCGCATCCGTTCAGCTGCGAGCCACCGCCGGCCCCTCCTCTTCCGGGCGCCGCCTCCTCTTCACCGCACTTGGGCGGCGCTGCTCCCGACGCGATGCACGTCGATGAGGCCGGGCCGCATCCAGGCAGCGCCGCCGCCTTTGAGGACGACACCGCGGCAGCGGGGCCCTAGGAGCGGGGCCTTCTCGGCCGGGCGTGGAGCAAGCCCTCGCGCCGCCATCCTCCGACGAGGAGGAGAACGAGCCGCGGCTCAAACTGCAACGCCACCGCGACAAGGCCCGACCGCGGCGCGGGCTCGTCCTCCTGTCCTCGTCCGACGACGACGACTTTGAAGAGGCCGGACCGCCACGCGGCTCACGTTTCGCCGCCACGCGGCTCACGTTTCACGAGCGAGAGCCAGCTGGCGGCCGAGCTGGCCGACGCCGACCCAGCGCCATCCGGCGGGGCACACCTGCAGACCCTCGGGTGGCACGCGCGGGAGCCGCCGCCGCTGGTCGAGATCCTGGCCGAGCACTGGCGGGACGGCCCCGGCGGGCCGCAGGGCGCGCGTGCAGGAGCCAGCTCGAGGTCTCACCGCCGCAAGAGCTGGGAGTCCAATGTCGACGCACCGCACTTTGGTCGCGACAAGCGGCAGTCGCGCGTGCACGGGCTGGTGTTTGAGCAGCAGTCGGGCTTCTCGTACGAGCTTCCGCCGGGCGCGATCGACTTCAAAGCGCGCGAGTCCTTCTCCACGATGCTGTCCATGGATGGCGGGGAGACGCACAGCGATCTTCGGGCGCGCGCGCGCGATCGGCAGAGCTGGAAAGACAACTCGCGGCACTCTGCGTGGCCCTCCGGTGCTCCGTGCGAGGGCGCCGGCGACGAGATGGACGCCGACGACGGGGGGTCTGAGGCGGGCTGCGAGGCGGGAGGGGGCGCGGACTTTGGGGCTGGGTTCGAAGGAGAGGAGGCCGACACCAGCGGCTTGAGCCTCGACGACAGCCCCTCGCGCCGTGCGGAGCCGCCCTCTGACGAGCCGAGGACGCAGCCCCGCCCCGAGCAGCGTCAGCTGGGCCGGGCGGCGCTGCGCGCGGATCCCCACCGCCGGCTCTCGGCTCCGCAGCTCGGCCAGCTGGTGGCGCGGCGCGCTGGTGGCGGCGGCGGCGTCCGCCTCGCCGCCGTGGCAGGAGCCGCGGCAACGCCGGGCGGCGCACCGAGCATGTCGCGGCTCTTCATGGGAGCGCTGTGGGCGGCCACGACGCAGCACGTGCTCTCGCTGCAGTCCCGCGACGGCGCCGATCGCACCGTCCCGCCGCAAGTGGGCCCCCTTTGCCGCCGGCAAGAAGGTGAGGCTGGTTGCGGGCGTGAGGGATCAGGACGGCCGGTGCGTTGATGTGCAGGTGCAGCTGGCATGAGAGGGAAGAGGGAGCTCGCAGCAGCCGTTGCGAGGCGGCGAGAGTCTCTTGCGAGAACAGATCTGAAGGGCTCCGCTGCCCAGCGCCGCCGCCCCGCACACCACGGCCGGCCGTGGAGCGCTCTTCGCCGTTTTGCGCGGTCCACGCGGCGAGGAGTGCTGTTTTCGACGACTTCGTTCATTACCTCTTCGGTCTCTGGTCTCTGGTCTCTCGTTCCGTCTCTCGCTGCGAGAGCGCGCGAGTCTGTGTGCACTCGTCTTCAGCATGTCTCTGTGTGGACTGTGTGCTCTCCGTGGGGCGCGGGGACTTTTCGTGAGCAGTTTGTCTCGAGCGCGGGCTAGCGTCGCAGGCCTCGCAGCGGGGAGAGCCCGCCAGTGCGCAGTGCCAGTGGGGGGACCGGGGTGGAACTGGGGAGAAGCGGGCGCGTCGGCTCTGACCTCTGTAAGACTCTGCTCTCTGGAATCTCACTTTCTCAGCAGTTTTACGGCTCCATATCAAATATCTAGACACATTAAAAGGATAGGGAAATATACAACCGGGCCGGGGCGGCGCATAACACATTCTAGTGGTCCGCGATGAGTGGAGAGAGCGGTAACACATTTCACTCGCGCGAAATACATTGACATGACGTCCGCCCTCTCAGTCTGTGCGCGGCGCGCCGCGGCCCGGGAAGAGCCGCTTGCGTAGGATATACTTCGGCATCTGATAGAAAGACCACCACAAGCCTGCGGCGGCGAGACTCGCGTCAGCGGAGCCACGGCACGGGAGCGCCAGAAGAGGGAGAGGGGGCGCGCGAACCGGAGGTGTCCACTTCCTCCGCGCCGGTGCCGGCCACGTCCGACCGCACCACGCGGTACCTATTCAAACACCGAGCCTCGAACGACCTTCAGCCCCCGACGGCCGGCTGTGCTGCGCGCCGCACCCCTCTCGCCGGTAAAAGGCGAGCGCCGGCTCGTTCTGCGCGGACACCTGAGGCGGGTCGGGAGGGACAGAGGGTTGGGGCAGAGAGGGAGGGAGAGAGAGAGAGAGAGAGAGAGAGAGAGAGAGAGAGAGAGAGAGAGAGAGAGAGAGAGAGAGAGAGAGAGAGAGAGAGAGATGGGGAGAGGCGCGGTCGCTCTCCCCCTCTCTCCCTCCGGTGGCGCCTCTAGCAGCACCTCCCCGTGCCTCGAGGAAGTGTCTAGGAAGTGTCTAGGAAGTGTCTAGGAAGGCGCCTCCAGCAGCACCTCCCCGTGCCTCGAGGAAGTGTCGAGGAAGTGTCTAGGAAGTGTCTAGGAAGGCGCCTCCAGCAGCACCTCCCCGTGGCCCCAGCTGCGAGCGACTCGCTCCGCCTCGCCGACGAGGCAGCGCGCCACGCCCCTCCGCCGGTAGGCCCGATCCACTGCCAGAGAGGCGACGTACGGCCTGTGCTCGGGGCGTGGCTGTGAGGCGACAGCACGCGGCTGGCCCTCTCTAGCAGCAGCAGCAGACGCCACCGCAAGACGCCTCTGGGCTAGTCTCGTTTGCAAGTCTCGTCTGCAAGTCTCGGTCTCGGCTAGTCTCACCGCCAGGCATGCCTTCCTCCGGACGGCATCTCGTCACGTGTAAGCTCGAACCGGCGCTCCTGCGAGCGGGGCACCAGGCGGCAACGCGGCTTGGGCGATACAGGGTCGGCCTCACAGGCGTCGGGCGCAGGGGTCTCTCTTGAAGACAACGCTCGCGAGCTTCGGGCAGCCGCCTGCGTGTTGAAGAGATGCACCGCGAGGTCGACGCAACCGATCAGCGGCCCGCCACGCGCGTCGCTCGCCACCACCAGCCGGCATTCGCGCTGCCCCTCAAATTGTAGCCGGCGCGAGACTGCGAGGTAGACCTTACTCCATACCGCAGCCCGCTGGCTGAATTTGATCGGACCGTCCTTGAGTTCGTGCTCTCCGTAGAAGGAGTCGGTGCATATCGTGGCGATCGCTACGGCGTCTGACGGCTTTGCGCGCCGAAGCGAGACGGCAACATTCTGCGCGGCTGTAGTAGGTGGCGTCAGCACCTTGCCGCCAAAAGGGCGCTCAAACGCCGTGAGCGAGCTAACAATACCTGCGGCCCGTGGTACGGCGGCCGGGAGACAGCATACAATGCGGCTCGGTGTCACGTAAGCTGAGCAGGAGAGGAGGAGGGAAAGAGCGAGGACTTGCATATTTCTGCACAGACCAAAAAGAATTCACTCCGGGACAGAAAAAAACGTGCGCGCGGAGAGCTCGATAAACTCGAGGGGCCAAAATATGCCGCGAGCAGGGCAGAGTTGCGCCGAAAGGCTGGAGAAGCCGCGAGCGCAAGGGATCGGCAGGCGGCGGCGGCGGCGCAGGACGAGGCAGACGAGAGCGACGCGACAGAGGAGGAAGCGACAGGAGGGAGAACGACGAGAGTGGGACGACCGCGAGGTGGCATGAAGGTTGCAGCGAGAATCGGCGAGGGAAGACTGCGAAGGGAGATAGAAAGAGGCAGACGACCAAGGGTTAGGGTGGGCGACGGCTAGCACTACACTCCTCTCTCCTTAATTAAAATCCCTGTGTGGTGGCGGCGTGCCGTCCTCCCATCCCTCCCTTGCGCTGTCTGTTTTCTTTCTTTTATAACGTGTTGGCCCTCAGCGGAGCTGGGAATAGGACCGCCGCGAGCGGCGTGGCGTGGAGCGGTTGTGCATCCCTCCGGGGGCCCCTCTGCGCCGGGGAGGCAGGCGTTGTTGGAGCTAGGACGCAAGCGTCCGTCGCCCTTTTTCAAACTCGGGGCCCACTCCGCTACGCTCCGGATCCGAATTTGGAGGGCTGCACGCACCAAGTACATGTACGTACTTTTATAGCTTACTGGGAGAACCCCCTAAGGGCCCTAACCTGGGGGTTTCAGTCTTTTGTACGTACGTACTTTTACTCTCTTTTGTACTTCCTCTATAGGCGGCAACAACGCTTCGTGCGGAAGAGCCACTGCAAGCGGACTGTGCCCCCTGAGCCAATGCGGCGGCGAATGGCAAAGCGCATACAAAAGTCGGGGTCGCAGAGTGCGGTCGCGCAGCAGTTGAGCATGCTCGTCGGTCGCGTTGTTTAGGACGCCACGCCAATCTGTTGCCGGGCATCCCCGCGAATTTGTCGCTCGTGATCAGCTCCGCTGCCGCTCGGAGCAACCAGTGCCGTGTCGAGATGAAGCTCCGCGACGACGCCCGTGGACTTCGCGCGCAGGGAGAGGTGCACGAGCTCCCGCACGGCAAGCGACTTCTCGGCATGCGCCGCCTGACGCCTGTCGGCATCCCATTCTTGCAAGCAAGCCATTTCTACCCACCGCGTACCAGGGTATTTTGGTCGAGGTATTTGGTCGCGGACAATTATACGTTTTGGCACCAGCTGAAGGCTTGGACAAAAGCACGTTGCCAACGCAGTACCCACTTTTTGCCAGAGCCTCGCGAATCAATTGGATCAATTGGCCTCCGCTCAGGTGAACATACAACATACATGTATTCGCTGCGGTAGAAATCAAAAACCAAGGATATGTGCCAAGTTCCTGGATCCTGCGCCAAGTTCGCACACTTTCCTCCTGAAAATCGAATACCACGTTCGGATCGCTCCTCATCGCAAACCCTGTCAGCAGTTCACCTACGGGTATGTTCGTAAGAGCTACATACACTGAAAATCCCTTGTGGCGTCCGTCTGCTGCTCCTTTTCTTCTACGCCGCATATGGCATACCCACCCACAGCGTCACAGAGCCCACTCTGCCCCCCCACGCAGCCCACAGAGGTCTGCGTGAACCACGTCTCGCCCTCGGCCTGTCTGGGATCGATCGATGGTGCACCGCGCAGTCCGGCCCCGACGGGAGGCTAATATAGCAAACACGTACTCTCCCGAATGCGGTCGCCCGCGCGATTTGGCATTTGCCCTCCTCTCCCACTGCCGCCCCCTACGACCGTACTCTCAGATGCCGCGGCACCGGAAGGAGATGTGAGCAAGGCCCGCCGCAGCGCATGCCGCCTCGCGCCCTTCTGCAAACGCGTGCGCCCCCCTCGACTGCGCCGACAGGCGGCTTCAGTCCTTTGGCGGCGGCACGTAGTCCTCCGACCTCCAGCGGCAGACCGGGTGCTCCGTCTCGAGGTCGGGCGGGATGGGGAGCGCCTCCTTGCCCTCGACCTTCTGCCCCTCCCACATCGGGTGGCTCACGTACCGGATCGCAGACGACGCCTGCAGCACCACGCTCGTCTCGCCATCTCTCGGCAGCATCTCGGCGGCATCTCGGCTCGCCTGCAGCACGACGACCGTCTTGCCCGCCATCTCCGGCCGGTGGGCGATGTCGACCCCAACCTTGATCGCCGCGCCGCTCGACGGGCCGACCAGCAGGCCCTCCTACAAGCAGGCCTCCGAGCAGCGTCCGGCCAGCCTACACGCCTCCTCCGTGAGTCGGCACCCCTCCTGCGCGGCGACGCGGTTGGCCCACTCGCATGACTCTGGCGTCGACGCGTGCGCAAACTCGTCGATTGCGCCCCGCGGCCCCTCGGCCCACTCCTGCCCGGGCGAGAAAGGAGATGAGGAGGGGACGGGGTGTAGGCGATGGCGTCATCTGTGTCGGCTCCTGGCCGGGCGCCAGCTTCTCGATGAGCGGCAGCTGCAGGTTGGCCCCGATGCCGACGACGCCGTGCATGCCTCCCGGCGCGCCGACCAGCACACGCGCCTCGGTGGGCTCGACGCAGACGACACGGCACGAGGGCTTCTTCGACTTGAGGTACTGGCCCGCCCCGTTGAGCGTGCCTCCCGTCCCCGCGCCCGCCACGAAGCAGTCCACCTCGCCGTCGGTCTGCTCCCAGATCTCCGGGCCGGTGCCAGTCAGGTGCGCGAGCGGGTTGTCTTCCGAGTCGAACTGCGAGGGGGTCCAGTAGTCGGGGTTCTTCTTGACGAGCTCGGTCGAGTACCCAATCAGGTTCTCGATCGTCTTCGGGAAGTTGTCCTGCATCACCGACGTGAGGTGCACGTCGCACCCAAACTTGCGTACGAGGATGTAGCGCTCGTACATGCTCGGGACCTGCGGCATCACGATGATGCACTTGTAGCCCTTGGCGGCCGCCACCATCGCCAGCCCGATGCCGGTGTTGCCAGACGTGGCCTCGACAATGGTGGTGCGCGCCGGGTCGATATCGCCGCGCTTCTCCGCCTCTTCGATCATCGAGAGTGCGATCCAGGCCTTGACCGAGCCGCCCGGGTTCTGCATCTCGAGCTTGAGATACACCTGCGACGAGGCGCGCCCGATGGTCGCGATGTGGTGGCGGATAAGGACGGGTGCCGCGATGCGGTGGCGGTGAGGGATATGCAGTGGTGTGGACGCTCCTTAGCTTTCGCATCGCCGACGACCCGCCTCAGCCTGACCATGGGCGTAGACCCGATAATCTCAGTGACGCTCTCGACGCGACCCGCCAGTCCGCGAGCGTGCCGAACAGGCAGCGCGCGCGTGGCGCGGGCCAGGGACGAGAGCATCATCACTGAGCTTGTCGGACCAAGCGAGCGAGCGTGTGTTCACGCCGCTGTTCCAGGCGCTGTGGTGGGGCACCACTCGTACTGGCACTGTGGTGGGGCATATGCATACACACTCCTTCCTGCCGCGATGTGTCACATGCGCATGTCGATCATGACCAGAGGCGGTTTGCGTCACACTCTCCGCCTGTAGACTCTAGCTCTCTGTGTTACTCTCGTACGATACAATGAGGCGGAGGGAGGCCAGGGGACGCGCAGGAGCGGCCCTCCGCCCTCTCGGCGCCTGGCGCGTGCACCGCAGGAGGGCGTCACGCGGCGGGCAGGCCGGCGGCGGAGAGCAGCGCCTTGCGGACGGGCGGGATCGAGGCGAGCACGGTCGACGCCACCGCGTTGAGGACCATCGCGATCGCGGCGAACGGGAAGGCGGCCGGCTCTGCGGCGGTGGCAGCGGTGCCGATGCCGTGGCCCGCGGCGCCCATCGCCAGCCCGCGCGCCACGGGCGCGGTCACGCCGACCGCGTCAAGCAGCGCGAGGCCTACCCACACGACGTGCCTCCTTGAGCGGCGCCTCTTCGCACCTCCGCCGTGAAGCGTCGAGCGGGTTGTGGCCAAAGTTGGCGACTGCAAGGCCGGTGAGGACGACGATCGTGCAAGCGATGCCCGGGTCGGCGCCAACCAAGCCGGAGATTGCAATGGCGAGCGGCGCCGTCACCTGCCTCGGGATCGCAGCCGCCCGCAGCGCCGCGTCGAGCCCGAGCGCTCGCGCCGCCGCCGCCGACCCGAAGAGTCCTCCGGCGGCGGCGACGGCGGTGGCGGCGGTGACGGCTGGCAGCGAGGCGGCGAGGAGGCGGCGCTTCTCGTACATGGAGAAGCCAAACGAGAGCGTCGCCGGTCCGAGCATCGCGAGCAGCAGGTTGCCTGTTCGCGCCATCGGACTGTGAGGGAGGCGCCGTCGCCCTCTTCGCGGCGGCGGATGCTGCCCGGCGCAGCGAGCGGGGCGCCGCCGGGAAGGAGGTAGGAGCGGAGGAGGACGGAGAAGGGCTGGGCGGTGGCGAGAGCGAGCGCCGCGACGGCGGCGTGCGTGCACAGCGTGCAGGTGAGCAGCGGGTGGAGCAGCTTCTGAGCTCGCTTGGGGACGAGGGTGGAGCCGGCGACAAACCCGCCGGCGGTCGTCGTCAGCAGAGACGCGTCGCGGAGCCACTCCGCGGCGGCCGGGGCGCCGAGGCCTTGGGCAGCGAGCGCCGACGCCGCGCCGCTCGCCAGCGCGGCCGAGGCCAGCCGTGGCAGAAGCGCTGCCGCGAACGGCGGCCGCGGCGGCGCGTTCGCCGCAGCCACCGCCTCGCTCGCGTCGGCACCCTCGTCGCCGTCGGCGAAGAGGCCGACTCCGGTCACCGGAGAGGCGGCTTCGGCAGCGGCGGCGGCGGCGGCGGACGCGACACGGTCCGAGGCGGGCGGCTCGTACATGCCGACATTCAGCCGCTCCGAGAGGCGCTGCCGTTCGGGGAGCGACTCGCTGGCGGCGAGTGCGGTGCGGGCAGCGAAGCCGCAGGCGGGGAGAGAGAGGACGGCGCCGCCGCCGATGAGGAGCGCGAGGCGGGCGGCGTCTCCCGCGCCGAGGCGCAGGACCAGCGGGAGGAGGACGAGGTTTGGGACGAAGAAGAGCGGCAGCCACTTTGCGATGATGGCGCAGCCCGGACGGGCGGCGCGGGCGACGCCGCGCGCGAGCGGCGGCGAGATTGCACGCAGGGAGCAGAGGCTGGCAAAGAGCATCACCGACCCGGCGAGGGACGAGGGGAAAGCTACCCCGCGCCGCACAAAGCCGCGCTTGAGCAGAGCGTCGGCGAGCACGATGCCGCCGAGCGAAGCGCCACGCCGGAGGAGGGAGGGCTCGGCGGGCGCAGCACACGCACGCACGCAGCAGCCGCGCGGCGCGAGGCCAGGCGAAGCGAGCAGCGGCGGCCGATGAAGAGGGCCGACGAGGGCCGTCGTTGTGCCGAGCAGGAAGAGAGTGATCATGCTGAGTTTCGCACAAAGAGAATACGATCCCCCTTTTTGCTGTTCACAGCTACGGACGGCCTCTGCGGCAAAGTCAAACCACCCCACCGTCCCACCACCCCACCACCCCACCTACCACCGCCACCACACCAAACCTTCGGCTCCCGCTCAGAGGCTCGCCGCGCCCGTGCGGCGCGCCGAGGCGGCGCCGAGGCCGGCGCCTTGCACCCGGCCCGCGGCCGGCACCGCCTCGCCCCACAACTGACCGCCCTGCGGCCCCTGCGCAGGCGTACCACAGGCGTCGCTCAAAAAGCGACGCCGGGTGTGGGCTGCTCCCTTGACCCGTCACCCGCCGCGCCCTCGCCCGGCCGCCTCACCGCTCACGGTGCGGCTCGGCTGCTCGCCGCCGCCGCCACGCGTCCCGCGCCGCCACGCATGCCCCTTGCCCTGACGACGCACTGGGAGCGCCAGAAAAAGAATTTTCTGCGCCGCGACTCTAGCTCTGACATTTTACAACGCGCACTCCTCGCACCGAGCACGGGACTGGCGCGCGCTTGGAGGACGGCACGCCGCCAAGTCGGACCGCGCTCATACTGCATCGACCGTGTGTGCGTCGCGTTGGCGGCGCTCGTCTCAGGTGTGTCGGTATCGCGCTGCTGCGTTTGTTAACAGTAATGTCGTCCGGCCCGCTAAAGCGCATTACGAGCTCACAGACGCCGCCGGCACGCACTCCCACTTCACACACGCTCAAGCACAACCCCACCAAAGCACAGCCCTGCTCAGAATGGGCAAGGTCCACCGCTTGGTGACCCAGGCCGCCCCTGGCTCGCCAATGCACTCGGCTCCTCTCAGCTGTCTCGGGCTCTCCCACGACAGCACACCGACGGCAAGCTTTGACGCCCGTCTGGTGGACCTGCTGCGGCCACAGCCGATGCGCTCATGCAGCTTGGTCCAGGCCTCAACTCAGATGCCGACCAGCCTGGACGTGGCGGCCTACGAGCGGCGTTGTGTCCGGTCGACGCTTGAACGAGAGCGTCGAGCAGCGAGTCACCAGTGTGCCGCTCGAGAGCCTCCCGGGCCGGAATCCAGGCGCGGGACCATGGAACACGCTCAGGAGTCGACTCTCGCGGATCGCCGGCCACAGTCGGGCCGCCAGGAGCGAGCTGGCGACGGACGCTCAAAAAGGCCTCCATCGCGGGCGGAGGGCAAAATCTTTGTCGAAAGGGTCTATGACCGACCATGCCTGCTTACTCTCCGCGCTGCAGGGCCTCTCCGAGCAGGATCGCGCTCGGCTGCTCGCCCAGCTCGCGCCTGTGCCGCCTGCGCCGCAGCAGTCGCTCTCGCAAGGCTCCCAACAGGACATCTCAGCCTCTCAAGCCTCGCAGTACGACGCCTACTGCCTCGACGACGACGCCTTCGCGCAAATGGAGATTCCGGGAGAAGTGCCGATGAGTGCCCCGCCCGCAGCAGTGCCGGTGCCAGCGCCGCCCGCCCCCGTCGCGGCGGACGCTGCGTCGGGCGGCGGGCTCGTGCGAGACGAGGAGTGGCAGGCCATCATCAACACCGAGCTGCGCAAGGGCGAGCTGCTCGGCATCGTCGCCGCCGCCGGCTCGGGCAAGTCGACGGTGCTGCAGGACTACGCGGCGCACCGGCGGAACCTCAGATTCCTCTACCTCACGTTCAACAAGGACGTGCAGCGGGAGAAGCAGGACGAGTTCCGTCGCGCGCGGCTGATCCACGTCGACGTCGTCACGACGCACTCGCTCGCCTACACGCCGACAAAGGCGCTGCACAAGGGCAACGTGAGCGGCAAGCTTTTCGTGCCGTGGGGGCTCCTACACGACGGCCGCCGCGACCCGCAGGACAAGATGGCGGCGGTCAAGGCGGTCGACGCGGTGCTCAAGCTGTTCATCGCCTCGGACGACGCCGAGATCTCGGACTCGCACCGCGCGGGTCGGCCGCCGCGGCCGGGCGAGTGGGACGAGGTCGCGGCGGCGCGGCTGGTCTGGTCCGCCATGTGCGACCCAAAGTGCGCCGAGGTGAAGCTGACGCACGACGGGTACGTCAAGGCCTTCCAGCTCGACAGCCGCGCGCAGGAGGCGGCGCTTCAGCGGTACGATGTCGTCATGCTAGACGAGGCGCACGACTGCACCGCCGCGCAGATCTCCATCGCCGAGCGCGCGAGCTGCGCCAAGCTCGTCGTGTACGACCCACACCAGTGCATCTACCAGTTCCGCGGGGCGCGAGACGCTCTCCGAGACTTTGTTGATAAGACTTTTCGGGCTGCACGAGAGAAAACACTTCGCGGGGCTACTAGTACTCCCACCAGGTCACATATACAAAACCGTATTCGTAGACCAGCCTCTTTAGAAGCTGGTCAGTGTGCGTGCTGTGGAATGGTGGGTTGGGGTAGTCTCCCGCACTCGAGCCCGGCGGCGTGCCATATGGCACTCCGTTCTCGTCCAGCAGGCAGCGTGAATACAGAGTGAACGAGTCGGAGGCGTTGTAGTTAGCACCTAGCTGGGCCATCCGCCAAGCGGGGGCCACCACCAGGTGGTGCCTCCCGGAGGGGTCCACAATCTGCAAGAAGAGGTGCTCCACCTCCTCTGCTTTCCACGCCGCCTCCTCGGCGGGTGTCGCGTAGATCTCCATCCGGACGTAGGCCAGCTCGGCGCGCGTTGCGCCTCCCGGGTCGCGGCAGTTCCAAGCTGCACTTGCTGACACGGTCTTAAACTCCTCGCGCTCGTCTCGCGGCGGGATGCCCCTCGCCGGGAACGCCGCTCCCGGGGTCCGCACCTGTCGGGTCACACGGGAAGGTGAAGAGCTAGCTTTGCGGCCGTGTGTGTAGCGGTGGAAAGTCCTGGGCCACCTGCATGTCGAAGTGGGTTGGTGGCGGCTGACCCGGCACCGTCGGCACCGGGGCCCGCCGCGGGCCCGGCCGCACGTGGAGGCCCCCCCCTGGCGGCAGGGCCGGCGCGTCGTTGAGCGAGTGCACCTGCTTTGCCTGGGCCACCTGCAGGTCGGAGAGGCTCGCCGCCACCTCGGCGCGCACGCGCAGCTCGCCCTCGTCGGTCAGTGCCGGATTAGCCGACCTTGCCTCCGCGCCAGCGGCACGGGCCGCCTGCTCCAGGTGCTCTGCCGCCCGCCTCCCAGCCGCCGCAACCGCCGCCTGCGCCGCTGCCGTGCTTGCGGCGGCGTCGTGGTATGCCCTGTCGGCCTCGGACGAGGCCGACTTGGCCGCCTCGAGGCCGACCCGCTGCATAAAGCTTGCTAAAGCCTGCGCCTCGCCGAACTTACCTCGCGCCTTTGGAGGCAGCGAGCGCTCGCGCAGGAAGTTGATGAGTGAGGCCGGCGGCGGGTTGCCCGGCGGCGGGTTGGCACTTATGGCGACCATCAGGTGCTGCTTGAGCGCGGCAGACATCGGTGCGTGGATGTCCAGCACGCCGACGCTCGCTCCATTCTCGAGCGCATACGAGGCGTCGGTGCCAATCTTGGCACCCGGAAAGCGGGGCTCTGGTACGGGCGACGATGCAAGGAAGGTGATGGCGGCTTCGTGATAGTCGGGGCACTTGCCGTCGAACGGCTTGTAGTCGGTTTGGCCGCCTGTGCTCGCCTGGAACTCGTACGCGTTGCGCAGCTTCACGGTCGGAACAAGCGCCAGGCCTGCCGCCCCGAAAGCCTTCCTCGCGAAGACGGCATCGGCCGCCTTCGCTCCCTTGAGCGCCGATGCCGAGTCCAGCCAGCTCGCATCGTGTGTGCGTGGGTTGCCGGCGCCCAGCATAGCCGGTGGGTTGCTGGCGAGGCGCGCACGCTCCCAGCAGCGCGGAAATGTCATCCTCTCGCTCGGCTGGCTCGGCAGGCTCGCAAGACAAGGCAGCAAGGCGAGTAAAGAGACGCGGCAGACCCGAAAGGAGGATGCTGGTTTTTTCATTTTGGCTGGTAAGGTATTAATATTATGGTCACGGCCAAAAAGGGGGGAAGGTCCTGGCCGCCGGAGGCGGCCTCCCTCTCGAGGGGTGGGGGGGTATGGTCAGGCTGGCGGCCCTCTCCAGGGGTATGGTCATGCTGCTGGTACTGCTGGTCTGCACCACACCGGCAACGCTTTCGTTCGGCACGTTTTGTGGGCGAGCGGGACGCATCCTGGCACTATCTGGCCCATCTATGACAGTGACGACCTACTAACTATGAACCTGAGAAGTCCCTTTCCTGAACATTAAGGTCTGCTGGCGCCGCGGTCAGCTCGATCCGGGAGCCTTCGACCAGACGACCATCCGTTACGTCCGTTACCGTACGATGTCCGTTACACCCTCGGGGGAGGGGGGGTATGGTCCTGCTGGTGTGTGTGTGTGTGAGAGAGTGTGCGTGTGTGTGTGTGTGTGTGTGTGTGTGTGTGTGTGTGTGTGTGTGTGTGTGTGTGTGTGTGTGTGTGTGAGTGAGAGAGAGATTTTTAGCAATACCAAACAACTCTAACACTCACACGTAATTTGGGGCCTGGAGCCCTGTTCACGCGCGCGCGTTGTTTGTGTGTGTGATTGTGTGTGTGTGTGTGTGTGTGTGTGTGTGTGTGTGTGCGTGTGTGTGTGTGTGTGTGTGTGTGTGTGTGTGTGTGTGTGTGTGTGTGTGTGTTGTGTGTGTGTTGTGTGTGTCAGATTGCAGCAGAGCGCAGCAGAGTGCAGCAGAGTGCACTCGGCCAGTCAGTGGCGTGGCAGCACACACAATCCACCGGCACGGAAGCACTGAGCCACCGCACGGAGGCGCGGGCCGCGTCTCCCCGCCAGCCCTCTTGTTCGAGTCTCGCACCCACCGTGCCGGCGGCCCGGCGGCCGCCGGCCTGCCGCCTCCTTCCCGAATGCACAGCCCCCGGTTCGCGCCGGGCCACTCTCCGCGACCAGTCAGAGCAGCCTGTCCTACTCGGTCACGCGACGACAGCGGTCGAGAGGTTTTTCAGAGGTAGATCTCCGGATCTCGACAAAACGTTGTTCGGAGAAGTGCCTCGATTCACGAAATGGTCTGAGTCCTCGGTGCCTGTTTTGAGAAAGACACACCAATAACACGGCGGAGCTGTCAGCGCTTGCGGAGCTTTTTCGCTCTCACTACTCCACACGGCACCACGACCAGCAGGCTCACGAGGGGTGGTCCGAACGGACAGCGAGTACGCGATGGCGTGTGGCGACGGGGAGAATCTCGCCGGGGGAGAACGCACAACTAGCGAGCTATCTTCGAGCAGCGTGGCGGCATTTAGCGTCGAGGCACGAAGTGACATGGAGACACGTCAAGGGGCACAGTGGTCATAAGTGGAACGACTACGTCGATAAGCAAGCTGACCTCGGCAGGAGCGGCGCGAGGGATTGCCGCGCACCGGAGTGGCAAGACGAGCTTGTCCCAACAGACGCAGACGACGGGGAGAGCAGCACCGTGGGCGACGACGTGGTTATTAACGGAGGAGGTACAACCATCCCACTCGACGACATCGGTGATGGGGCCTCTAGCTACGATCGCGTCCTCGAGCTGATCTTAACATCCCGCTCGCAGGTACCATCCGAGAAGCCATTCACATCGACAGCTGTGACGGCGCCTCACGCTCTTTCCTTTTCGCGGTGAAGTGTCCGGACACAAGCAGAGGTGCGAGGAGGGAGCAGGGCGTCACCGACGTAACGACTACGCCCGTGCAAGGCGTCGGAGCCGGTCCGGAATCCGTCAACACCACGGGCATCGTGGGTGCCGGTCGTCAACAACGCGCTCAAGAGCTCACGTGTGAGCTGCGTGCACGAGGCGTACACGTCACTCCATTCGAGCAAGGCAAACGCAACTGTCCAAGCGTGAACAGACTGAGCCTATTCTCTGTTTGTCCAAGCATGGTGCTATCAGTTACTCGCCTCCGGCGGGGCCCCCCCTACTAGTGTAAACCCATACAAAGTGCCTCTCCGAGACGGATTGTGGCGGCGGCGAGGTGCCGCCGCTGCGCGCCGCCCCGGCAGCCTCTTCAGAACTCGTACTCCACTCCACAATCTTCCACACGGCTCTACCCTCTCATCGGGCGTCAAGCCACGAGCCTACACTCTCTGCCCTCTCGTGTGACTCACACACTCTCTGCCAGCTGCCGTGATGCCGCGCCCGCCGCTCGCCAGGCGATTGCCAACTTCGCCGCCGCGCTCTAGACGAGCACCGGCCGGTGCTGGCGTGGAAGACGGCGGCCATCCGCGCGTATCTAGTGTGCGTGTCCTAAGTGTTGGTGTCTGCAGCCTCCTGGAGCCTAGCAGAACTAGCAGTAAGGCGGCCGGCGGTGGGGCGAGGGAGGGGGGGGGGGGGGTATGGTCCCGTCGGGGGGAGGCTGGGTCTGTCAGCAGGTGGGGGGGTATGGTCTGGAGGTGGGTTGCGCGACGCTACCATACCACACCCCGCAAAAAGTCCGAACCCTGCAACGTCGATCGCCTCGTCACCTCGAAGCTCCACCCTTACTGAACACTAGCTCGCTGGTAACAGGTCTGGGGTGCCGAGGCATAGGTCTCGCTGGCACAGGCACGTGGTAGATACCACATTCGGCGAGCTGCGTAAGGACTGTCCAAGACACATGTGAGGGAAGCAGGAGCCCACTTGCAGCGAATTCTACTGAACAGTTGGGGCTGGCGAGACCGTTAAGGAGCGCGAAATGCGTGCGAGGAAGCGCGCGCTTAGGCTTAAGGTGGCAGTCCGGGTTTTGCGAGACGGGTGTCGTCCCGCAAGATGGCATCACGCTCGCACCTGCCGACCGCCGCCACGGCGGCGAGACGCCTTCTCCGCCACCGCGGCGCCGGCCACAGGCCAGCGCTAGGCAGCTGCCGGCCACACTGGGCCGGATTTGCCGGTAACCGTCGCCGCACACTCCTACGTCCACGCCGCTGTGACGTCTGGCGACGAGGCGCCGGCCGCCAAGCTTCATCGCCAACATGGTCGCTCGCTGGTCCTCTCGGCTCGGCCACGCGTCGGCCCAGCTCACACGAGCTCCAGACAGCCACCAGTCGCCACGCGCAAAGCGTACGGGTCGCCGGCTCCCTGTTGTGCTCTCACGCTGGCCGGCGTAAAACTGTACTGGCAGTTGTCATGCCGTACCCGTCGCGTTTCGAAAGGGAGCCCTCAATCGACGCGTCTACACGCACCGTGCCACCGCTCTCCACAACTGCTACCGTGGACATCAAGCTCCTCGACTCGATCTGCGGCTACGACGGCGCTCTAGCTGCTGGCTCTCGCGGGTGTCTGGCGACCCGCTCAGGCTTGCGAAACGGCCGGCCGCGGCGACGTGTTTCGAGCTCGCTGGCCTTCTCCGCGCGGCTGGGCCCGCCCCTAGTCGGGGCCGACCCGCCCAGTCACTGGGCAGCGCGTGCGCCGGCGTTCTGGACGACGGTGTGCCGATGCATCCGGGAGGCTCCGCGGGGCTGCTCTAGCAGCCTCGGGAGGGTCGAAAATCGAAGCCGGAGCGGCGGACCACGGAAGCTCCACGGACGGTGAGGCGGGCTGTGGTTGGCCCCCCCTGACCGGGTGAGGGAGTGGCGCCCCGGGAGTGCCGCTCCGGCGACGTCTGTGGCCTCCACGGTACCGTGACCGCGCCGGCCTCGCTCGGGAGGCTCTTTCGGAGGGCCGTCGGCCTCCGAAACCGTCGCGTTGCTGCGCCTGGACGGCTTCGCTGCTCGCCAAACCCGTCGGCACCGTTCATATACACATGAATTGTGAGTGAACGCGCATTTTTCTGATAGCTTACTGAAATGTTCCCGGATTTTAATTTCGATCTAGTCCTCACGGACACAAAACAGAGGCCTCCTAGCACGGAGAAGCGACTAAGAGTCGCCGATATGCGAGTAAGCTATCAGAAAAATACGCCCGGAATCACAATTGATCCCGTCGACAAGGCGCCCCAATCGCGGAGGTCTGGCGCGGGCGTGGAGGCGAGCATCGACGCCTCGACGGTTGCTCTTCAGAGGCCGTAAACAGGCGCCTGAAAAAGGAGAGAACGCGAGACTGATCACGCGCGCGGAAAAGCCCGAGGGGCGAATCTAAAGTGCCGAGGCGCTTGCTAATCACCCCAGCTAGGGCCACGGAGGCGCTCGCGGCAGGTCTCCGCGCGCGCGCTGGCCGGTGGCAGCTGATCTCGGGCGGCGGGCGGCGGGAATGGGCTCGGGCGGCACCTTTTGCCCTCAAAAGTCGTTCGAGAGTACCGGGTCGCGGCGGGAACGCGCCCATCCGCTCGATGGGTGTCAGGAGTCGATCGCCTGCGCCAGGAGCGAGCACGGGAGTCGTCGCGATGGGAGTCGTAGCGGCGTGGCGCTCGGCTTCGAGAGAGCGACGTGGGCGCGGCGGCGCGGGCGGCCGGTGGGGAGCGTGAGGTCCGCACCTTCGCGACGGGCAGGCTCGATACGGCCGCTGGCCGGGGCGGCCGCTCGACCGGCCGCCGCGGTCGTTCCGGCGGCGGCGTCGGCGTCGGCGTCGCGAGCGAACTGGCTCGCATTCGACGAGCGACCCTCTTCACAGAACCCGGACTGCCACCTTAAAAGAAGAAAAGTTCGAGCCACTTCCGGGGTTTGCAAAGTCGATCGCCGCCGCCTCCGCCCTGGACGCAGGAAAATGGATGAGGAGCCGACCGACTTTGCGCGGACGTTCCGAGCCGCGCTCCACTCGTGGTACGCCGACGGAGGCGCGGACTCGAGCGACAACCTCGTCGTCGCCGCAAACGTCTTCAACGCGCACCAAATCTTTGCAGAGCTCTCCAAGGAGCCGCGACGCAGCGCGCTGATCAAGGCAAGATACGCGACGTTCAACGAGCGCGGCAGCTGGCTCGTTGATGCCGACCTAGTCCGTCTCACCTTGGGCAGCGACCTCTATGGCCCTCCGCCTGACCGGCTTGTACGGCTCGCTGGCTTCCACCTCGGCATCAGGCGTGGTCGCGGCATCGACAAGCAGGCCTTGCAGCGGCGGTCGCTGCTCGAGGAGCCGCAGGATGATGTGGTGATGAAGGAGCCCGCCCACTTCCGGCGGAGCGTGCGGCAGCGGACGGTGGGCGCCCACCTACGACACCAATACCACCGATCCCCCACCGACCCCTCTTGCCGTGCTCGTGCGCGCAGGTGGAAGGCGCGGGCGCAAGCTCCGACGCCGCGGAGGCGCTCTCCTCTCTTTCCCTGGCTGACCCTCCGCCGCCGGCGGCGGCGGAACAGACCGTGCTGGCCGAGCCCTTCGCGGGCTACCCCCTCCTTCGGGCGTGGCTAGAGCTGGCGGCCCCGGGCGACAGGATTGAACCAGACTCTGAGTTGCGGGTTGAGTTGCTGTCCTTCCTGTACAGCCTCGCGCGCCGACAGGATTGGGGTGTTCTCTCTCGTCGCGACCTCGTGCGCGAGACTGTCGCCGCGCTGCCCCTCTCCCCTCCGTCGCCTGTCGACCCGGTCGAGGCGTCGGCCGTCTCGCCGCTCCTATCCGCGCTGATGGCGGCGCCTTTTGAGGGGCAGGCGGAGCTGGTGCAAGGGCTGTTGCGCGCGGGGGCCGACCCGCTGCGCAGGTGCGCGCTCGCCCAAGGAGGAGAGATCTCCCCCGCGGAGGTTGCCGACGGGCTCATGCCTGGGCTGCTGCCTGCGCTGCGCGGCTGGGAGAGCGACGCGCCCGACATCTCCGGCGTGCGCCTCCCCCCGAACTACTCGCACCTGGAGTCAATCCGCGATGAAATCGATTTCGACGAGAGCACGCGCGTCGATGCAGTCCGTTGTCTCAACCACGCCCTCCTCCTGGCGGGCGAGGCTAAGAGCAACGCGGCCGGCACCATCGCGAGCTGCCCCATGCCACAGGGCATCACCATGGCCGACGTCGATACGGAGCGACAGCACACGCACCCACTGGAGACCGTGCTGCGTGCCCCCAACTTCACGCACCAGGCGTGGGTGCTGCAGCGCATTCTGCGCTGCGGGTGGGAAGAGGAGAGTGTATATGCTACTGCTTGCGCGCTGGCAGACGCCCGGCTGGGGCTGCCCGGCCTCTTGGATGTTTTGTGAGTTGTGCACGGTTTGAAGGTTTATATAGCACTTCAGGGCTACCCGTGGATTGATTGATTGATGGGAAGACCCGTGGACGCTGTTGTAGGTAGGGAGAAAAAAAGAAGACCACAACTGCGGCCACACATTGGGCTCTCCCCCCCTTCTCGCCAACCCGCTAAATTCCAGCAGAGTTCTCTGCGCCTCGAAGTACTCGAGTGCAGAAAACGGCGGACCAGCTGCTTCCCCCATATGGCGCTTGCGCCGCGCAGCGTGGGCGCGGCATCCGGGACGGATGCGGGCCGCTGTCTCGCGGGATCGCTGGGCGCCGCTCGGCTCCCCACGCGCCGCCGAGCTGCGATGGCGCAACCGCAACGGCTGCCCCTCCTCGGCTCCCGCCCCGGGGCTGCCGAAATAGGTGCCCCGAGCCACCGTTTGCAACATCCGCGCGGAGCGGCGGTGCTGCCGACGCCCCCCCGACCGGCAAATACCATTGGAAGGGCGGTGGTGAACGCTCCACCTCAGAAATGTCGTCGTCGTCGCGCAGTTCCCTTAAGTGACGTTCGGCGCCCGGCGCGGCTGGCGGCCAATAGACCGGATTTTCGTCTCTCGACGCGAAGATATGGTCCCGAGTCTCACTACTCGCCCCTCCATCCTGTAGGTCCGGACCTTGCCTGCTCAGTAGCCGCGATGAATCGTCGCCCTCATCGTCCGCGGTCATCCTTTCAGCCTCAAACGGGCCAAACGACTGTCTCGCCATCAGCCATCTCGCCTCTCGCGGTCGCGTCACGCCTTCCCTCGTGCCGCGAGTAGGCGCGTGAGTGATGGCCCTGCCGCCAGGTACACGGCTACACCTCGGGACGCCATGCTGAGACGGGTAGAGCCGCCCCGCGGGAGCAAAAGCCGCCTCGCGCGCCTCAGTCCGCCGGGCCCCTCGGCGGCCAGTGTGGGGTGGATACGGCGGTGATAAACCCCCCTGACAGCAGCGCCTCACGGCGTGGGCTGCGAGGTCACTCAGGGTGACCCAGGGGGCGGCGGGGGAGCACTCTCCCGCCGGAGCAGCGGGTGAGATTCCCGCTACTCGCTCGAGCTTGAGGTGCGCCGCGCCTCCCTGTGGAAGCGCGGTAACGGACGTAACGGATGGTCGTCTGGTCGAACGCTCCCGGATCGAGCTGACCGCGGCGCCAGCAGACCTTAATGTTCAGGAAAGGGACTTCTCAGGCTCATAGTTAGTAGGTCGTCACTGTCATAGATGGGCCAGATAGTGCCAGGATGCGTCCCGCTCGCCCACAAAACGTGCCGAAAGCGTTGCCGGTGTGGTGCAGACTAGCAGCATGACCATACCCCTGGAGAGGGCCGCCAGCCTGACCATACCCCCCCACCCCTCGAGGAGGCCGCCTCCGGCGGCCAGGACCATACCCCCCCACCCTTTTGGCCGTGAATTACGATACCTTACCTTACCCGCCAAAATGTCGAACCCAGCATCCTCCTTTCGGGTCTGCCGCCTCCTCCTCTTTCACTCGCCGATGTCTGCCTCCGTCCCGCCCGACTTCATCAACTGCTACACCTTGCCCATCCACGACACCATCCTCACCCGCATCTACGAGGGCTGCGAGAAGGTCCTCCCGGTGTCGGCCCAACTACTGCGCCACTGGCGACCGACCGACCCAGCCCCTCGCATCGAGTACGACCGCCTCACCTTTTCAGCCGCCAAGGACGCGACAGAGATCAGCGAGCTGCTCGTTGGCGGACACCACGTCCCAGGTGGACCGTACCAAGTCGGAGCGCTCGAGACTATCCTGCGGTCGACTGGGTCAGACCCCGGAGTCAAGGTTCGCCACCGGCTGGTGAGCGGTCAAAAGACGGCCGACCTGGACGTCACGCCGTCCAGTGGCACGGCGCACCGCTGGGATGTCAAGCAAGTCGGGTGGCCGTTTAGGTGGACGGGCGACCCGACCACAAACGGGATGCCTGACGGGTGGTGGGGCCTCGCATGCGAGTTTAAACTCGGAATGACGAACGCCCAGGTCAATCTTGCCAGAACCCCAGGTGGGGGGCAGAAGCTCGAGGCACTCCTCGCCACCATCGGAGGTTGCACAGACGGCTACACCCGATTCGTGCAGTTCCATATGCCCTGTGTGAGGTTTGCCGCACAGGCCCGCGGGGAGGAGCAGGCGGTGTACAGTCTGACGCCGAGTGGCTCGTTTAAAGGGATCCGTCCGGGGGTGTGCGTTACGGCATGCTTCGAGTGCAGCGAGCTCGAGTGGGTCGATGACCAAGGCGTTGCAACTCAGGCAATGGGAGAAAGCAGAGGGCACTCAAGCGACCAGCTCGAGCCGCCTCCGCAATCTGCCGAGCTGCTGCGCACAATCGCGGGCAAGGTGGTCATCGCAACCAAAAAGGACCCGGACGACGAGGATCTGAAGCCGGCGAAGCCGGAGCCTGTGCCCGAATTATGCGATGCAGTGATTCGGCGTTTGTGCCAGGGGACCGGCACACGTGCCCGGGTAACGGTGGCTCCGGGTGTTAAACGGAGAACCGGTCCCTTCCCCCATCCGGGGAGGGCCATCGCCCGAGGGGCGGCCACCTTTTCAGTGTAGATCAGGTATGTATGAAAATGTAAGGTAAGGTAACTTGTAGTGAGCGTCGGGCTGGTGGTTCGACACCGAGTTTGAAAGATCTGTTTCTCTACGTCTCTCTTCACAGGAAAATCCTGTGAAGAAGAGCGGAGAAAAAACAGAAACCTTTTCTGCCTCGGCCTTAGCCGTCGGTACTCCGAAAGCGTGCTATCCAAGTAGCACGCAGCCGGGTCCCGAAGGTGTCCCATCCCAAATTCGTGCTGTCGACAGACCAGATTCGTGGTCCCTTGGTCGACTACACCCGCCTTTGGACGGTAGCCCGACACAATAGTCAATACATTTGTCTGTCTTTTTGGATTTTTTGGTTCGTCTGGGTAAGGGTTTTGCAAGAAACCTCCTCACCACTGCGAACACTGTCTTGCTCGTAGGAGCCGTTCATCCTTTGTCTGAGCAAACGCGCGCCCGATCACCCCGTTGAGCACGTGTGCAGGGTATCCGAGCGCCATGAACTCCCTGAGTTTGCTCGTCACGCTGAGCGCGAACCCTTCGTCATCGCTCGCCATAGCACTCACCTTGAGCGAACCCTTCGTCATCGCTCGCCATAGCACTCACCTTGAGCAGGCATCCAACGACTATTCCCTCTTTCATCTTCGCGCATGTGAAGCTATCCCAAGATAAATGATCGCCTCCCGGGAATGTCACGACATATCGCTGCTTCAGACTCTGGTACTTGACCACTTTCACCGTGACGCCGTTGAGGAGCCAGGTGGGGCAGCCCGTGCCGCGCTCGGGCGCGCACGGATGGGGGCCGCGGCAGCAGCAAGCTCGAGGCGACGTGGGCGCCGGAGCTGTAGCCGCCAAAGTAGACGCGCGCGAGGAGGAGCAGCATGTCGACTGGGCGATTGCGGCGTCGCTCGCCGAAGCAGAAAATGAGCAGCCTGACGCTCTGCTGCCTCCGGGCCACTGGCACTGCGTGCGCTGCACGCTCGTCAATAAGGCCGAGTCCGGCCGGTGTGCTGCGTGTGAGGCCGACCGCGAGGCGCCCTTCACCGCAGCAGCATGCGGCGTTGCCACTACTCCACCGCCGCAGAGGTGCGGCCTTCCAGGCTGCAACCGCGGGCGCCTGCACCATGGCTTCTGCACCGACGACCACAAGCAGCGAGCGGAGAGGCGCGGCCTGCTCGCGCCCGCGGCGCCCGGCGTTGAGAGGGTCTTTGTCGGCTCCACGGGCGAGTACGCCTGCGACCTCTTGACTCGGGCGTCGCCGGAGCGCTCGAGCGTGATCGAGCAGTTCACCATCGCCTGGCGCAAGCCCGGCACCGTACCTCGCGTCGAGCGCGTGTACGCCATCCGCCCGCCGCCCGCCCTCAGCGAGCGTTTTGCGAGGCACCTGGCCGCCGTGGGCAACGAGCGGCGGCGCTTCCACGGCACGGGAGCCACCTGCGACTTTGCGGTCGACCTGAACCGCGCGCCGTGCAACAGCCGCGGCTGCGCGCTCTGCTCCATCCTCGGCCACGGCATCTCGTGCCCTAGATACGGGATGCAGGTCCCTGTCTTCCAACTAGCACTCAAGGAGACACGTGTTCAGCGCGTATTCAGCTGTATTCATGTGCTAAGCTTGTTCACGCAGGCTTCTTGCGCGCGCACGCGGGCAGTGGGCCCAACGCGTCGAACCGCGCCGCGCTGCGCTACGGGCCGGGTCTGTACTTTTCGTCCACGTCGGGAAAGTCGAATGACTACGCGACGCACAGCGAGCGCCTCCGCGGCAGCCGCCGCTGGCGCACGATGTTTGTAGCGACGGTCGCCGCGGGCCGCGCCTACTGCACGCACGAGGCCGAGCTCGATGTGACGAGGCCACGGGGCGCCCACCCATTCACAGTTTCCCTGGTGTCTTCACGGCCAGATTTCTTCTCATAGGCCACCGGACGGGTACGACTCGATCGTCGGCGAGGTGGGAGCAAACCTAAACTATGACGAGCTGGTCGTGTACAATGAGGCCGCGGCACTGCCCAGATTCCTGCTCGTCTACAGCTCAGCGCGGTGAAGTTGGGGGGGGGTGCTTGTGTCGACGGCGGATTCTTTTATTTGGGCCGAGAGTTATCTGCGCCTGACGATCAAGCACGAGAGCGACGAACGGAGGCGCAGATAACTGGCGATGAACTCACACTGCTGAGATACCTGCTGGAGCTGCAGAAGATGCAGACATGCAGTGTAGTCACTGCCGCAGAGCACGCGCGGAGCGCGCCGCTGGAAAGCACGCGCGGAGCGCGCCGCTGTGGCGTGTGGGTAGAGGGAGCGGACCGTGAGTTGAGGAAATCGGGGGACGCGACCCACCTCGCCACAGACGGTCCCGCGCCTCGCCACTAAGACGGGTACACGACCGCGGCTTGTGTGCGTGTACCCGTCTTTGTCCGGAGTGAAAAGTCCAACGCGCTCGTCGGTGGCGGCGTCCCCCGATTTCGCCGCGCTCGGCGAACCTCGACAGCGCTTTCGGGGTGGCATGCAGCTCTTTGCGACAGAAGCCTGGAGAGCAGCTCCTCTGCTGCTCACACACTCTGCACAGTTGACACAGCCTACTGTGCGGCTGCCACAGCTGTCACAGCGATGGGCTCGCCCTCACTGGCCCTTAGTCACTTGTGCTGCGGCTTGTGTGTGAGCGACACTGCTCGGCGACTGCCGGCACACTGTGAGACCATGGGTGTGAGGTTAAACCACGCTACCAGCGCTTGGTCACATCGGCCCCGAGGTCAGATCCTTCTACTCTGTTGATGACAAGACTTGTCTACTGGCTAAAGCCGAGCAGGAGGGCCCAGCTCACAACCCCTGGTCAACTCAGGGTCCACACCCCGTAGGCGCGGAGCGCCGCTACACTTGAGATTGCGCCAGTGGGTGGGCCGAGTGGTTCCGCGTGTGAGTCAAACTCTTAATAGAAATCGCAAGCCCTCCACAACCCTCAAAATTTTCTTCGGGGAGCGCTCCGCGGCGCCTGACTCCTTGAGCGTCGTAGGCGCTGGTTCGCACATGTTCTGCAGCTTGGCTCGCTGCCGTGTGTTGCGGCGCTCGCCACACATGGACATGGAGAAGTGTACGGCGGCAGCGTAATCGCTAATCGGCCAGAGCCACGCTCACCAGCCCTTGGCGGCGACGGCGCCCCCGACGACGGCGAGCACCACGCCGAGGCCGCCGAGCATCCAGTTGGCGGCAACCTCTCTCCGCTTGATGCGCGGCAGCGCGCCTGCGCCAGTGCCCGCCTCCACCACAAACTCCCTAGCGCGCCGGCGGCGGGCACTCTGGAGGAACATCGCGGCCGGGAAGACGTATATCAGGGCCGACCCGACGATGGCGCCCGAGAAGGCGGCCAGCGCGCCTAGGTCCTTGACGACGAGGGCGAGACCTATGTGATGATCTGCCGCTGCCCGACGTAAGCCTTGTCCCCAGGACCATACTCCCATGGCGCTTGATCCGCGCCTGCAGGAAGCTGGCCCAAGCGCCGCGCCCCCGCCGGTCGAATTTTAGTATCTAGGCCGTTGGGACAGACAGACAGCTCGGGACGGCTCGGGACGGCTCATGACGGCTCGGGACGGCTCGGGACGGCTCCTACTGTAAGCAAATACACCTGTAGAGCGCGAAGAAGGTGCAGCAACCTGCAACCGCCGCCTGGACTATGTCCCAGAGCTTGGCGAAGCTGTACAGAAAACACGCGGCTTTGCACTTGGAGCACTTGGAGTGCAGTCGGTAACCTCACATCCGGCCGACGGCACTGTCCCTGAGTTGCGTCCCGCCTCAGCGGCACGCACTAGGCGAGGACAGTCCGGCCGACGGGAACGTGTCGCGCGCCGGCGACGAATGCGGCGGGGTGGGTGTGGGTACGAAGCGCCGCTTCGACGAAGCGAGGTAGGCAGGCGCCCCTCACGAGTCCGTTCAGACATGCCACAGACAGCCCACACGCCCCTCGCAAGCGAGGTTAGTAGGCGCCCCTGGCGAGACCCGCAAGAGATGCCCCACCCCTCTCGCACCTATACTCCACCAATGAGAAGGTGAAGAGATCTTGTCGGCCAGGCGGGCAGGGCAGGCGGGCCGGCGGGGGCGGGGTCAGGGAAGACTATTCCAAGACTCGCGAGAGATGCCACACGCCCCTCGCGCGAGGCAGTTCGCAGAGCACCTCCTACCCACTCGAGGTTAGCAGCCACCCCTCGCAAGACTAGGGGGCGGCCTCACATGTCCCAGAGCTTCGCGAAGCTGTACAGAAACAACGGAGTTTGTATTCCTTATTTTGCAGAGCGCGAAGAAAGGTGCACCCCAGCAGGTGCAACTGCCCCCACATACATGTCGGAGACGGTAGCGCTCTCGTCGCAGCTGTCCGCTGCCACCGAGCCCGACACAAACGCCAAGTCGCGTGGCGCAGTCGGCACCTCCTCGCGCCGCTCCACCCGCATCGACGCCAACAAGCGCCGCGCCGCGATGGTCGACCGCGTCGCAAAGTCGGTGAAGCGAGAGCTCAAGCTGCTGGGCTCGGAACTTCAGGCGTGGCAGCAGCCCAAGGACCCGCAGCAGACGGCGCGCATTCAGCGCGAGTGCGTCAAGCACTTTGTCACCACGCAGCAGCAGCAGCGCATGCGCGAGGAGGCATACCCCACCGCCGCAGCTGCCGCGGCGCGGCTCGCCAAGCGGCTCCGCAACCAGTCGCCCTGCCGCCCTTCGGTCAAGCCGTCGCGTGTGCATGCGTTGAGCAACATCGCGCTTCGCAAGGCGCGCTCCGCCCTCCGCGCGCGCGCCGCCTCCTCCCCAACCCCTCCTCTCCCACAGAAGGGTTTGCGGCCGCACCCGCCGCTGCGCGCGCGCGACCCACCGTGACCGCGACCCGCTCCTCTGGCCCCCGTCCTTCGCGACCGCGAGAGCCGCGCCCCCGCGCCCCCGCACACGCGCCGCCTTGCGACTCTGCCCCCCCGGGAGCTCTCCTGCCTTCACAACCCAAACACTCGCCGGATTAGTACTACCGGCCGCCGCCGCCGCCGCCCCCGCCGCAAACTGCCACCGCCGCCTTCGCCGGCCTCCCCGCGGCTGCCGCCGTCGCCCACGCCCACGCCCACGCCGCCGCCGCCGCCGCCGCCGCCGCCGCCGCCGCCGCCGCCGCGCCCCTGCAGCGCCCCGCACACTGCTCCTTGCTTCCCCCCTCCCCCCCCCCTCTTGGCTCCGGAGCTCTTCCATCCTTGCCTCGCCTCTCTCGCTGCTCCGACCGCCCTTGCGCCGTCCGCAGGAGACGGTGCCCATCATGCTGCACAACAGCTACCAGCTCGCAAAGGTCGAGCCGCAGGCGCGAGCCCCCTCCGCCTCATCGACCCCCCCCCCTCCCTTACCGCGCCCCCCCACCCCCCCCTCCCCGCGCCACCACCACCACCACCCGCGCCCTCTCCCGCCAAGCCCGCCGCCGCCGACCGCCGCTCTCCCCCGCGGCGCCGCAGGAGCGGCCGCCCTTTGTCTGCGTCTACATCAACCTCGCGAGCCGAGTGGATCGCCGCGAGTCCGTCGAGGCCCAGATGGCGCGCGAGGGGCTCCACGCCTGGCGGCTCGAGGCGGCCACCGTCGAGCAGGCGCAGCAGCCGCCCCCGTGTTGCGGAAGAGGCGCCTCGCGTGGCGCCGCCTCACCCGCGCGGCGCGTGCCGCTCCCCCGTCAGGCGGACCCGCGCATCGTCTCCACCACGTGGAACTCGTCTCTCAACTGCAAGTACGACACGCGCACGCTGCCCGCCACGCTGACAATGTCGAACGGTGCGGCTCTCGCCAGACACACACCCCGGCACGGCCACCCCGCGACGGTGGAGGGCGGTCGCCGAGGGGGAGCCCGGGGCGCGCCAACCCGCTCCGCCCTCCCATCGCCCTCCCTCGGACCGTCAGGCGAGCGCGGCTGCTCGATGTCGCACGCGATCCTGTGGCACGCCTGCGCCTCGTCGGGCGACGACACGCCGATGCTCATCCTCGAGGACGACGCGGTGCTCAGCCCGAACTTTGTGGCGCGCACGCGCAAGCTGATCGCGCGCGTGGAGGCCGCCGTCCCGGCCGAGGAGCGGACCGTCCTCCTCTACCTCGGCGGCGACGTGATGGCGTGGCGCAAGGAGGAGGACGCGCTGCAGCTCGGCTACGGCGCGCGCCCCCCCGCCCCCTGCCCGCCCTTTACCCTCGCCGCGCAGCCGGCAGCGGGCGAAGAGAGGGCCCCGGCCCGGCGCGGCGGGCTGAGCGTGCCTCCCTCCCCCCTTCCCGTCCCTCCCTCAGGGCTGCGCGAGTGCGAGTACGTCTACCAGACCTCCTCGTACATTCTCTGGCCCGCCGCCGCGCGCAAGCTCCTCACGCTGCTGCCGGTGGACGGGCCGGCGGACGTGTACCTCTCGCGGCTGCTGCTCGAGCGCAAGCTGCGCGCGCTCATGTGCCGGCCGCGGCTCGTGTGCCAGGCCCTCGCGGGTGGAGAGCGGCGCCCAAACGACGGGGCGGCGCTCACATCTCGCGCCTGGGTCGCTCTAGGCGGCGCCGTATGAGAACGGCGACATCGACCACACAAACATCTTCGCCTGAGCATCTTCGCCTGAGCGGCGCCGCGGTGCTCGCCGGCTCGCGCCCGCCCCTCCCCCCCCGGCCCGTTCCGCGCCAGGGAAGGGCCGGGCGGCGGCGGCGGGCCGGGCGGCGGCGGCAGGACGGAGACGGGCGGGCGGAGTCTTCGCGCCTCTGGCAAGGGCGCGGGGGCTCTCCCCCGGTGAACGCCGCCGCAGGCGTGCGGCGCCGCCCGCTGTATAAGCTCCATGGCGCCGGGCTCCATGGCGCCGGGCGGCAGGGGTGAGAAGGGGGGGGGGGGCGGTCGGGACGGCTCACGGCATAGAGAGCGCCGAGAGGCTGGACAACAGGCGAGGCGAGGGGGCGCTACCTCGCGGTTGCGCCTCGTCGCTCCTCGGCCGCTGGGGAGGGCTCTTGGGGTAGGGCAGGGGCGGGAGGATAGGCGCGTCATTATTGGCCCGCCGTTTGGAGCTGCTGCAGCTCTGGCGTCGGTCAGCGCAAATGTACTTTGTGCCGTTTGGCGCGATGCCGCGCGCGTCTGTCTGTATGCTGTCCCGCGGGGCGCTGGACGCTCACACGGGCGGGTGTGCGGCATGGCGCGGTGGATCGTTCGTGCTCGCGGCAGTGGGGTAAGCGCAGGTCACGTGCCTCTTTTCCTAGTACAGCCTACCTACTCCATGAGAGTGAGAGGGTAAACGGATATATTATAAAATACGGTGTTTGCAATGTCCATATTATATGTTTATGAAAATTTTAGTAATTAGATATCTCACAAATACTTGATTTTTCACGCCGTTTAACAATCGTGTTCAAGCGGCCCTCCTGTGAGCTGGTACACCAAGAATGTCTCACCACTGCCAGGGGCCACACTGTGGCAAGCTGTGATGAGCGTGGTTTGGCTTGTCCAGCCCATACGGACGTGGTATATACACATATATGCGGCCACGTGTCGGCCGGTTCGGGGCACGAATTCCGGATTTTTCCACGGCCTAACAATCGTTGCTGTAGTGGCGCCAATGGCCGCCTCCCGTCGCGCCATTGGCACCCTAGCCAGCAGTAGCACCGGAGGCAACACCACCAAGCCCACAAGTCACAAGAGTGACGGAGATGCTTGCCACGAGCACCGTGACGCCCGACCCTGTGAGCACCGTGGGCGTATACGGCTGCATACGGTGAGATGATGCACAGCATGGCCAGACAAGGGATGCAAGGCTCGCCAGCTGTGTGTTAGTGAGGTATATGGATGTGATCAACATGTGTGCGTCACAGGTACGCGCAGCAGCGCATGTAGCCGCTGATATCGAAGACAGCGCAAACAGGTCTTTTTGCGCCACGCACCCGATGGCCGTGCAGGTCCAACTGCGTGCACAGGAATGCTATCAGCGCGTCTCCGCCATAACTGGACATGGCAATGAAGCAGCTGAGACGTGACAACATCGGTGCTGGGCCAAGGAGGTGCCGCTCACCGCCGATTGTTAGGACTGTCGTCGAAGGCGAGCGGCGGTCGCCGGGCAGCAGCTCGTGGCGATCGTCGATCCGCGAGCTGCCAAGCTTGTCACAGGCCGGCACTGGATCGAGGACGATGGCGCCGCGCGGCTGGAGGCAACGGAGAAAGGCATTGTGGAGCGGCGAGGCGATTGTTACGAATTTCGAGGCGCGGAAAAATCCGACAGCCCTGCAAAATCAAGTATTCGTGAGATATGCCGGCTCGTCGAAGGCTCCCTGCTCTTTCGCGGCCTGCTGCGCCCGCACCACCTCCATCGCGTTCACCGTGTCTGCGAGTTGAGCCCCTTCGCGGCCACCTTCCTCCTTCGTTCGCCTCCTTAACACTCCTCTCCCGCTCCGCCACCGCCTCCGTCCTCCGCTCCTCCCGGTCCTCGCGGCGGTCCGCCAGCGCGCAGCGGGTCGTCGCCAGCGTCGGCAGCCTCGATCATCGCCGTGAGCGTGACGCCCTCGCCTGCCATATGTCGATTCTACGTGATTCTCGGCCGGTCGATCGCGCGTCCCAAAACGCAAAAAAGTCGCCAAAAGTGGCGGCGAGTCGCAATTACCCGCCCGCCGTCCCGGCGGTCCCACAGCTGTCAGCTCGCGCGAATCTCCCTCTTAACCCACCAGCCACCTCTAACATCTCTCTCAGGAGTTAGAGTCATTCCGCTTCATCTCCAGGTTCCACCTCTTTTGGTCACCGCTTGTCGGCCCCTTGTGAAGCTTCTGACGTCGGGGGGACGGGGGGTACATACGCATCTCATATATGTGCGCAACCTACGCCAACGGCCAACGGCAACGCGCGGGGATGCGTGTGTGAATCCATGATGGCTCATATCCGATCGTGGAAATGGGGATGCATCTCTTGTGCTTGAGCCTTGTGTGAGGCATATGCCTTGAGGTGTGAGACGTTGAGAAGGTTTTAAACGTCGCGATGCGTCCCTAAGATGTGTGTCACGTCACAGGACACAGCTCCCGCGGTTGACAGCTCAGTGCCCACCGACTCCAGTTGGTCCCGTCAGCGTCACTCTCGTCGGGGCTGGTCACGAGGACGTCCTGCCCCAGAACATTTGCTGCACTGCCGGCGAGTTGCGCACTCCTGGCCGGCTCGCGAAGCACAGCACGGCAACCAGCCGCTCGCGAGGGCCCCGCGTCGGAGTGACGGCGTGGAACGAGTCGCGGCCAGCAAACACCTGCAGCGTCCCCGGCGCAAACGGCGCCGTCCGCACGGGCACCGCCGCGCCGCCACTCTCGCCCGTGCCGTCGCCGGGGAGGGAGAATGCGTGCTCCGTCTGCGCGCGCAGCACCGAGGCGACCGCCGCATTTGCGGGGTCGTCGGCGGAGGTGCGGAGGGGCGGGGTGAAGACAAAGTGGCCGCCTACACCGCGAAGGAGGTGGCGCATGTGTGGCGAGCCGGATGTCACGCCGGTGGTGCGTGCAGGCGGCTCGGCCCTCGTCGGCGGCCTGGAGCGAGAGCGTGACTGTGAACTCCGCCTCGTCGAAGTGCCAGGCGTGGTGCCACCTGCTCGCGGCGTGCAGCGGTGGGCACGCTGGCTGCCGCGTTGTGCAGAGGCGTGAGGGTTGGGGATGGGTCCGGGAGGGAGTCAGGCATGCGGCCTGTCCCCCTTCTCTCTATTCCCTACCCACTCACCCCTCGCGAAAGACATTGATCGTGCACGCGCCGATTGGGTCTACGGACATTGCCGCAGACATGAGTGCCAGCACACACCGCGCTCGGCGCCGTCGTCCTCTGCTTTTGCGTCACCATCGAGCCGGAAGAGAGGCCTGTAGGGAGCGAGCAGGGGGTGCGAGGAGGGCCGCAGCCTCGCGTGGCTCTCGCCGCCGCTCACCGCTGCAGCAGGGCAGAGAGGAAGGCGAGCAGCTCGGGAGCCTGCACACAGGAGGGAGTGAGGACCCGCAGGCCATCGCGGCGCCAGGAGAGGGTGAGATATAACCTCGTAGAGTCTCTTCAGTGTCGGGCCAATCTCGTCGGTGGCGACGCTCGCCACCCGCGTTCGCATAAAGAGGTTGGCCAGGTGGTCCGCCGGCAATGATGTGTTTCGCTCTGTCTGCCACGCGTTGTGTTCGCTGTCGGTGACGAACGCGGTCGGCGAGGCCAGCGTCGCTTCGCCAGCGGCTGCAGCCACCGCGGCGGGGCGGAGGAAGTCTGGGAACGAAGCGACGCCCGTTTCGAAGAGCGCTGTCCGCGCCGCAGCCAGAAAGGGGCGGGACACGTCCTCGATCGGGAAGGCCTCCAAATTTACGAGGCTGCCGATGTCACTTGCAGAGGCGCTGGAGGAGGAGGTATCAGCGGAGGCACACGAGTCGTCGGCGGTACTTGTACTTGTTGTGACGCACTGCACCGCCATCCACATTGGTGGTTGTAGCTTCAGGCCGTCGGCAGACAGTAGTTAGTGATCCCAGCCGCTTCCACAGCTGCTCGGTGTGAACAGCGGAGTCGTACCTGCGGCACCCTTGCAGTCGAGCGGAGGCAGTCCGGAAAACAAGAAACACGGTCGTTGCCTGGATGGACAGGTGTATATGCGCTGTCGGCGCGCGGCAGCGGGCCCTCGCGCCAGTCGCGCTCTCCGTCGCCCGACTCTCCGCCCGCCAAGCGGGCCGCCTCCGCCGACTCGTCCGGCTATGAAACCGATCTGCCGGACGAGGAGGGCGGTCCGCAGCTGAGGGAGGGTGTAGGGGATGTAGAGTGCAGAGCGCTGTAGAGCTGTAGAGATGTAGAGCGCTGGAGAGCGCTGTAGAGCTGTAGAGCTCTACATCCGGCGCGGGACAGAGCGATGCAGATGTAGAGCGATGTAGAGGCGCTCTACAACGTGAAATCTCTACAACAAACTCTACATCATAAGCGGCGAACGAGGCACGTCGCTCTCCGACATTAGGCGCGTTGCACTTGCCAGTGCTGCCCTGGCCTTCTGTCTGCCCGCCCAATGGGTGGCAGGTGCCTCTGCTGCTGTGGCATGCCTCACGGCTGCGACTGGCCGGCGCCTCGGCGCGTCAGCTCGGCTCGGCGTAGCGATCATGGCCAGCGCAACTCGCTTGGACTCAACGCTCAGAGGAGCTCCCGCACGCGCTGGCGCGAGGCATGGCGCATGCGACGCGCAGCAATGCTCGCCTCGCCTCGCGCAAATGCGACCGTCCTCGCAGCCGACAGTCCACCGCCTGCTACACAGAAGCACTGCGACGAATGCGGCACCGGCGACGTATGGCAGGCTGGTCATGACGCAGTCATAGGGTGTTGTGTGCCGTCAGGGTGACTCTCTGTGTGTCAGGGATAGTCAGGGCCGTCCATCAGAGCTCCAGCAAGCTCGGAGACACCCCACTAGTGCGGCTCGACCTCTTTGAGTCACTGCCTTCCCGGCGGGTTTGCTGGGCATAAGTGTGGTTCTTGCCCAAAAATGCGTGTGGTTTTTTGCATTTGCATTTTCTGCATTTTGCGCGTGTTTGCATCTCGTTGCATTATGCAATATTTGCATTTTCTGCATTTTGCGCGTGATTGCATTTCGTTGCATTATATGTTGCATTATGTGTATTCGGGGCATGCCTGCATATCTTTTGCAATTTATGAGGGCAAGAACCTTAGGCAAGTGCACCACCCAGACTCCTCCCCCCTCCCCTCAAGTACCCCCCAGACTCCTCCCCCCACCCCTTCCCTCTCCCCTTTCTACTCCTTCTGCATCTCCTCCTCCACTCCTCCTGCCTCGGGGAATGACTGCATATCTTTTGCAATTTGAGGGCAAGAACCTTAGGCAAGTGCACCCAGACTCCTCCCCCTCCCCTCCCCTCCCCCCTCCCCTCAAGTACCCCCCAGACTCCTTCCCTCTCCCCTCCCCTCCTACTGCATCTCCTCCTCCACTCGACCGAGACAGCGAGCACCCTGGGAGGGACATCATTGTCTTTTTGGAGGATTAGGTGCACACGCTATGGAGGCCGTGTGTCAGTGAATCCATGCAACTACCTCGTTTCCCGCCGAATGCAAAGAATGCAGAAAAAGCATATGCAGCTGAAATGCAGTTGCCCACCGAATGCATAATGCAACGAAATGCAAACACGCGCAAAATGAAAAAAATGCAAATGCAACCAAATGCAAACACGCGCAAAATGCAGAAAATGCAGATGCAACCAAATGCAAACACGCGCAAAATGCAAAAAATGCAAATGCAACCAAATGCAAACACGCGCAAAATGCAGAAAATGCAGATGCGTTCAAATGCCATGATATGTGCGATATGCACATAATGCAAAAATGCAAAAAATGTGCATGGGCAAAAACCACACGCATTTTTGGGCAAGAACCACAACACACCACCCGGGTTTGCTGTAGAGCCTCTACAACAAACTCTACAGCAAAATCGCGCTCTACAGTGCTCTACATCTGCATCGCTCTGTCCCGCGCCGGATGTAGAGCTCTACAGCTCTACAGCGCTCTACAGCGCTCCAGAGCGCTCTACATCTCTACAGCTCTACAGCGCTCTACACTCTACATCCTCTACACCCTCCCTCAGGTCCGCAGGGTCTGCGGCGTGCTCGGCATGAGGACGCAGTTCGACGCGGCGGTGGCGGCGGGCGAGCTGCTCGAGCTGCTCGAGAGCTTGCCGCGAGGGGCGGTCGAGGCCTCCGTCCGGCAGATGCGGGATTACACCCGCACGGGCGAGCTGGCCAGAGCCCCTGAGGGAGGGTGTAGAGGATGTAGAGTGTAGAGCGCTGTAGAGCTGTAGAGCTGTAGAGCGCTCTGGAGCGCTGTAGAGCTGTAGAGCTCTACATCCGGCGCGGGACGAACTTCGTGCGTTGTAGAGCGCTGTAGAGCGCGATTTTGCTGTAGAGTTTGTTGTAGAGGCTCTACAGCCAAACCGCCGGGAAGGCAGTGACTCAAAGAGGTCGAGCCGCACTAATGGGGTGTCTCCGAGCTTACTGGAGCTCTGATGGACGGCCCTGACTATCCCTGACACACAGAGAGTCACCCTGACGGCACACAACACCCTATGACTGCGTCATGACCAGCCTGCCATACGTCGCCGGTGCCGCATTCGTCGCAGTGCTTCTGTGTAGCAGGCGGTGGACTGTCGGCTGCGAGGACGGTCGCATTTGCGCGAGGCGAGAGGCGAGCATTCAGACGCGCTGCATGCGCCATGACTCGCGCCAGCGCGTGCGGAAGCTCCTGGCTGAGCGTTGAGTCCAGGCGAGTTGCGCTGGCCACTATCACTACGCCGAGCCGAGCTGGCTGACGCGCCGAGGCGCCGGCCAGTCGCAGCCGTGAGGCATGCCACAGCAGCAGAGGCACCTGCCACCCATTGGGCGGGCAGGCAGAAGGCCAGGGCAGCACTGGCAAGTGCAACGCGCCTCACGTCTGGGGGGGCGACCCCCCCATCTTTGTTTACCGAATGCGTCTCTGGATTAGAGTGCGTCTAGTAGGCCTCCTACTTAGACGCTCGCTGTCCTCGGTATGCTCGAGCATCCTAAGATGCGCGAGTCTATATTAGTTGCTCCGCGCATCCCGAATTGCTCGCGGCATCTCCGATTGGCGTTGCTGTCTCAAAAGACGCGCCGTGCATACTGTGAACAGCGCGTGTCTCAGAAGACGCGCGCATATTTTGAACAGCGTGTGGATCTCAAGAAATACACGCACGTATAAAAACAAAAAAGAAAACGAAAACCCGGTGTGGCGAGCGCTGCGCGGCGGGCCGTGCCCCCGGCTGTGCGCCGCGGCTGCTGCGCTACTACTCGCACAGCCGCGGCGCGCCCACCCGAGCACTCGTGGGTGGGCGCCCTATAGCCTCTCCGCGCAACGTGCTGGGGCACGGACAGCGGCTCTCACGTGTGGCAGCGGCAGCAGGCCCACCGCTGCACCGACTCACACTGAACAGCACGCACAGGACACAGTCACAGAACACTGCCCCTGACGCCACTCACGGCCACGGGCTACTCAGACTTGGACACAGGCACCTCGCTTAGCACTCCGTGCACGTGGCTGCCGGTTGCCGTCACCAGCGCCGCTTCCTGCCCAGATCAAACACCTGCGACGTGGCGGAGGCGATGAGCGGCCCGCGGTCGCCGTGAGAGCGCGCGTGGTGGGCGACGGCTCACCGATCGAGCGGAAGCGGTCACGCTGTGGGGGCGGCGGCGAGGCGGGCAAGCCACCCGCAGATCCCCAGAAGGACGCCGTCGCGAGGTCGAGGGCGGGCGGCGGGGGCGGCGAGAGCGAGGCGCGAGGCGCGAGGCGGTGTTGGCGGCGGCGGTGGCGCGGGCGGCGGCGGTCACGGAGCGGGGGCGAGAGGGTGGTGGCGAGCAAGACACCCGTGCGCGCTGCGCGGTCGCCGTTCTGACTCACATGCCTGCGGACAGCGCCGACGGGTGGTGAGGAGGGCGGCGAGCCGGCGGGCACGGTGTGCGCGCGGTCGCCGCGCGCTGGTGGGCGACAGCTCACCGAGCGAGGAGCGAGGAGCGAGTCGGGATGCCCGGTCCCTCAAATCGCCAAGTCAAACAAGAAAAACCGCGCCGCTGGCCGACTCTCGGAAGTACGCTGTCTTCCGTGTCTAGGCGCACGCCCACGCCCTCAGCCTCGAACTGGCCCCGCTACCTGCCGCGCAAACTGGTTGGTGGGGGGGGGAGGCGGCGTCGCCGTCGGATCGTCGTAAGCAGTGCATGCAACTTTGGTCTTTGCGCCCAGAGCTCGTGGCGCGAGCAGATGCATGCGCGGTGCTGAGAACCTGGTTCTCCAGGAGGGGCAGGCCGCGAGGAGAGACCTCACACGAGCACTCAAGGCAGGGCCCCCAGGGGGTGCCGAGAGATCACACCGCCTTTTCGTGCTCCCTGGCTCCCTGCTCCCCCCTCGGTGCCCGGTGCACCCGACACACGGTGTCTCCTGAGACGCTTCCCTGTCCAAGTATAGTAAAATGTGATCTAGTATGCAAGTGCCATCTCAGAACAGCTGTGCATCTATAGATGCTTGTGGCGTCTAAGATGGAACGCGTAACAAAAGACACGGCGCGGCTATCTCCAGGACAGCCATCGCATCCTAGAATGCCCTGTGTACCCGAGACACATGGTATCTTTGAGATGAAAAGTGCGTCCTAGAATGCGTTTTTGCATTCTAGGACGCATCGGTAAACAAAGATGGGGGGGTCGCCCCCCCAGACGTCATGTCGGAGTGTCGGAGAGCGACGTGCCTCGTTCGCCGCTTTTGATGCATGTGTGTACTTTTAGCTTCTCTCTCTCTCTCTTGATGTAGAGTTTGTTGTAGAGATTTCACGTTGCAGAGCGCCTCTACATCGCTCTACAACGCACGCAGACCAGTTCGTCCCGCGGCGGATGTAGAGCTCTACCAGCTCTACAGCGCTCTACAGCGCTCTCCAGCGCTCTACAGCTCTCTACAGCTCTACAGCGCTCTACACTCTACATCCTCTACACCCTCCCTCAGCAGAGCCCATTCCCACTAGCCCTGCCCCGCAGCGCGGCCGCTCGCCAAGCCCCTCAGATGAGTGGTCAGATGGAGAGATATAGTGCCCGAGACCGCCGAGAGCGAGGGGTCCGGGGGGGAGCACAAATAGGACGCCCAGCCTTGCCCTCGAGCGGCCGCACACTGCTCGGTCCCCCCCCTCCACATCTAAAGCCATCCCTGCTGCTGGGGGGGGGAGTCTGACCCCCCCAGCAGCAGAGCTTTGCTGCTGGGGGGGGGGTCGGCCATGGCTTTAGATGTGCAGGGGGGGGTACCGAGCAGTGTGCGGCCGCTCCTCGTGCCGCCGAGTGCATATCCTGTATGCGAGAGAGATCCCCTGTGCCCTGTGCGGCCAGCCCTCTCCGCGCGGCGGTGCGCCCTCCCCCCTCGCTTTTGCAAAATCCTGCAAAGGTGGGGACGTGTCTGTCCTCGACCCAGCCCCAGCTTGGGATGTCCGTGTTCTATTTATTTATTATGGACAGAGACCGCGTGACGAAAACGAACAACGCACCAGGCGACTGCCTGAGAACGCTAGAACCCTAGATCGAATCGTAGGAGGCACCTAGAGCAAAAATTGGGCCCGCTCAGGTGTGAAAAAAATTATAAGGGTCAATCTGCCGATTCGATCCGGAAGCCACTCGACCACCGAGCGGCCGACGGCCGAAGTAAGCAGAGTAGATGATGGTCTCGAGATAGCGTTCAAATCAGCGACCGATACCCGTAACACATTACCGGGGGAATAGACATTGCGCAGGTGACCCTCGCTAAGTGTCGCCGTAATCGGGGCACGCTATCCTGTGCAGTCAGGGCAAGCGGGGGCGAGGCGCACTCCCATCTCTCCTGTGTACGGGTGGGTTCTGTCCCTAGTCTCGGAGGGGGGAAAAAAGCTAAGAATATTTAATTTATTATGGACAGAGTGGAAGAACGACAAGATAGAGAACGACGAGAGTGGGACGAGAACGCGAGGTGGCATGAAGGTTGCAGCGAGAATCGGCGAGGGACTGCGAAGAGAGATAGGAAGAGGCAGACCACGCCCAAGCGAAGGGTGGGCGCGACGGCTAGAGGTAGAGGCCTAGAGCACCACAGTCCAGACATCTCCACACTCCTGTCTCCTGAACTCTCCTCTGTCTGACCTCTCGCTCTCCTTAAAATCCCGCTGTGGGGTGTGGGGTGTGCATGTGGCGCTGGCGGCGTCGGCCGTCCTCCCATCGCTCCCTTGGGTTGTCTGTTTTCTTTCTTTCTGGATGTGGATGGAAAACAAACGCACTCCATATGTCAGCGACACAAGAAAGCACACTTGGGGAAATCCGCCAGAATTTCTTTCTTTTCAGAACATGGCCGGGACCGTGCTGACCCCCCACAGCCTCGCGTCGTCGTCGATGTGCAGCAGGCGCACGCGACCGCCCTCCGACCGCACGAGCCACTCCGCAAATGGCAGCGGCGTTGCGTCGAGGCGCTCAAAGCTCGCGGCGAATCCGGCCTGGGCAACGCGGCAGCCCGGGAGGGGCATCAAAGAGCTAGTGACCCGCAGCAACACGCATGGCCAGTAGCTGTGTGCTGTGGAGTGCTCCGGTGTCTAGCTTTGAGATCGAATTGGCCCACCTCTGCAAGCGCCTCGACGAGCGCTGGCTGGCCCGGCCTGCCCGGGTCGGCGATCACGACACGCGCGGATGGCGACGCACGCAGCGCCTCGGCGCAGCGCCTGCAGGCGGCCGAACCTGTGCGTTTCTCGGCGGCCGTTCTCTGCTCATCGTGGCTCCAGTGTAAATCTCGGCCGCCTGGCGAGTGCGGCGGCGAGCTGCGGCGTGTAGCACGCGTCGCAAGCGAGAAGCAGGTCGCACGCCGGCAGCGGTGCGTCCGCCGCTGACGCGCAGATGTCCAGCAGCGCCGCGCGAGGCGACGAGGAGCGCCGTCCCTGGCTCGCCGCCTTGCCGGCGGCTGCGATGAGCGGCATCGCCGCAGGGTCGACGTCGGTTGCCGTCACGTCCGCGTCAGGCTCGGCAGCAACGATGGCCAGCGAGCAGAGAGCTGTCCCCGCGCCGAGCTCAAGCACCCGCCTGCCTCTGAGAGGCCTCTCCGGACTCTCTAGCAGACTCTCTAACATCCACCGGGCGAGGCCAACGCTGCAGTCCCAGAGGCGGGTGGCATATCCGCAGGCGGCGCCTTCGCCGCCGTCGCGCTCGAAGACCGTGATGTGCAGGCCGTCGGCACACTCAATCTGCGACGACCTCATATGGTTTCCGTCGCACACTGTCGTCCGCCGGCGGTAAATCGCGACTGCAGCTGGGCAGGAGCGAGCGCGGGCTGTGTGAGAAAACGCGATACCGGTGTCGAAACACCGCTCTGACAGCGCTCAAAAGCAGCGGTGCCCTCCGTGCCCTGTCTTGTCGCAGCTCAAAACGACGAAGCTTTCTTTTCCGATCTTTACGGAGGACGGAGGGAAGCAGCCTCGCCGGTGTGTGCCGCCGACCCGCCGCGACCGCGAGAACCCGCGGCCGGTCGCGCCGCTCGCGTCGCGATCGCCGGACGCCCTAAGGGCTAGGCGCAGCCCAGCGGCCGCGGCCACGCCGCGCTGCGCCGGGCGACTTGGACTACGTACAGCGTACAGCTACAGGTACAGCCCCCTCGCGCCGACTATAAATATTTAGGGGTGAACGCATACGGAACAGCGCAGCTCGCATAGACCATAGTAGAGCCGATATATGGACCCTTTCATTTTGAACGTTGGTATGTGTACATAACATGCGACGGGGCGGTGTTGGGCCGCCACGCAGCCGAGTCCCGAGAGAGAAGACGTAAGTAATCTAGGCGAGGCAGCGCGCCCGGCGCGCGGCGGCGGCGCGGTCTCGCGGCACGCCCACGCGCGCACGACGCGATAGGACGGGCGCAGGAGACAGGGAGCGCGGGGCGTGGGCGCCGATCCAGCGTGCAGATCTAGCGCGCGCCGCGCCCCTGCCTCCCTCCCTGCCGAGAGAGAGAGTGCGCTGCGGCCCGGGACCTGGCAGCCTCTTCGCGTATGGCCAGCGCCTCTATCTGTCCGTGCCGCTCGCGCCGGCCGTGTACTTCTCCTTGTCTCCCTCCATCAGCTTGTCGATCAGCTCCTGCGGCGGGGCGGCGGGCCGTGAGCGGAGAGGTGGTGCGGCGCAGACGTGAGGTGCGCAGCAGTACAGCGCGCGATCTCGGCGGCGGCTCGGGTGCGTCGCGTCAGCGGCGCGAGCTGCTCCCTCCTCCACTCCACCCCACTCCACTCCTCTCTCCTCGCCCCTCTCCTCACGTCGCGCGTCTCGCCTGCAGCGGCGCGAGCTCTTCCTTCCGCGGGATAAGGTTGAACTCGTAGACAAAGTACATGTAGTGCTTAAAGCCAGGTGTTGAGGGGATGACTCG